GGAGAACAATTTCATCTCCCTTGCAGGGTACAAAATGCACCATCATACTTGGCTGCTTCCGATGTAATGCCAAACAATGGGAGTTAATCTCAGGCTTGCATTTGCCTTTTTCAATTCTTTTTCAATTCTACTGATTTTTTTTTTCATGGTAAACTTGTGTATAGCAAGCTACTAACTGTCAGTAATGCAGAAAATCAGTAGCTCACTGCCGATTCAGAAGCTTGGCTTTTCATACATAGAAGATGAAGCATCAGATAAAATCACGGTCCTGAATATTGGGTCATTGGTTTGTCTAGAAGTTCAGACACTGCTTCCATAAAAAAGAGCTGCTCACAGGATTGGCTTTGCATGTATTCAGGATGTATACTTTCATGAATAGTGATAGATAATTTCTGAGTAAATCCCTGTTACTGATTGGATATTTTCTTTCGACCTGCATTTCTTAGAATTTGGTGGGATTTTGGCTGCTCTTTCACATCTGGGTAAAAGACAAATTTTTCAAAATAATTGAAGTCTGCTTTCTGAATCTTTGTCTTCAATTTTTTGGGTTTCTGTGCTATGGGTGAACAGACCATATTTGTTTAGAGTAAGCATAACACAACTCACAGTATTCTTGAAAAACATTGGAAATTGTGATCAAAATATGGCTTCTAATTCAGGCTTGATATGGAGAGTCATGTTGGTGTAGTGGTTAAGGTGCTAGCCTAGAAACCAGGAGACTGTGAGTTCTAGCCCTGCTTTAGGCATGAAAGTCGGATGGGTGATTTTGAGTTTAATCCCTGTCTTTCAGCCCAACTCACATCAAAGAGTTGTTGTGGGGAAAACAGAAAGAGAAAAGAGTAGTATATACATTCGCTGCCTTGAATTACTTATAAAATAATAAACTCAGGAGAAAAAAATCTAATAAATCTAATAAATAAATCAAAGAAGAAATGTGTGTAAGTATAAGGTTCAGACTCACTTGTATAATTGCCAACTATTGTTTTGTCATCTGGACCCAGCTGATTTCTTCTCATTGCATGTTTTTCTAGTTCTGTGTTTATTCTGTCTTAAATGAGAATTCATTCACCCTATGTGCTTTTTATGTACCCTCCATTCTCTCCTCCTGTTTATCAATTTCTCTTTACCCTGCTTAGGTAACTATTTAGTGCTTATTCAGATAAAATCCTTTTTTGCAATCCACACTTTTTGGCATTGGTTTTTATAATATTATTATAATTATGTAATAGAATATTGTATTTTTAAACCATCCTTCAGCTGGAGGTGTCCCTATCAAAACTGTATGTGTGTTTGTATATTTATTTGTTCACCTTAAATTTTACATTTAAGAGGAGTTGCTTGATTAATGTGCATGCCATCTTGTCATTTTCGATTCCTAGAGACCATGTGAATAGACCTATCCCTAACTTTTCTAGTCTCTCAGTGGTGCACTCATCATGGCTGTAACTCAGTCCCTCTACCTTGCTGCTGGTCGGAATAACAAAACCATCAGGTTGATGAGGAAAGAGGAAAAATAGATTAAATTCCAGTTCTCATTCTAGATGGGTATTCTCTGGGTGGAAAGGCACGATAAAAATTAGATAACAGCAACAACAAAGTTGAAAAGAAACATTACTGGGAAAGATTCTGCTACCCGGAGCGGATCTTTTAGCTGAGCAGATGGAATCTCAGCTCAGCATTTACACTCGGCTATAAATAAAGCGTTTTAAGAAAGTCTCTAGTGTAATTTAATTCATTCAGGCATACCTCTGCTTTTTTTAAATTAAGATTTACTTTATATATTATCTGGTGGTAACCAGATATCTGTACTTAATTTCTGTCTGAATGGATTGGAGTTGTAAAATAATCAGATTTGCCAAGGACACTCTTAATGGAGCTTTATGACTACAGGACTGAAAAATATATCATTTTCTTTCTTTGATCAGCAAAAACTAATAATAATGCACCACCGACAGGAAGAATTTGCTGACACGACTTCATTCACGAAAGTTTTTAGGGAAAGTATTCTTTACCTTAGTTATTTTAACAGATTATAATGCATGCACATTCCTTTTTTTTCTTTTAGTTCAAAATTCCATTAAGAGAGGACTAAGAATGACAGTAAGAACAGAGCTATTAAGACAAGAAATGAAAGGAAGCTTCTGAAGCAATATATATTTAATCAAACCATTCGAACGTTTAATAAGAGTTTGTCTGTTTTGACTAGTGACAGATCTGCAAGGATTCGAGAGTTCTTTCCCAGATCTCTTCATCTGCTTTCACCTGCAGATATTGGGAATTTGAACTTAAGATAATTTAGATTAAAATGCATTTTAAGATTAATTTGAAATACATCCCTATAAAGAAACCATCTTTCTTTTGCTAGTAAAAAATAATCTACCCAAAACGTATTTAGCATTTTAAAACATACAGCATTTCTTACTGCAGAACATGGTAGGCAAGCCGATGAAGTATGAGTATATGCTGATTAAAATAATGGAAATCTGTGTTGTGTCTTGTACCACTGTATATTGGTTTTTGTAAAATGCAAGTGTGTCCAGCATGATTGCATTTGTAAATTAAAAGGCGATAGAAATATTTGCTTTGCATTTATTTTGAGTATGTAAGAAGCCATACTAACTCTTAATAAAAATTATGTTATGTTACCTTGTGTTACATTATGTTAATGTATCTTTGTCATAATTATCTATATATTTATCTATATAGATAAATAGTTATATCTATAGACTACTAAAACTCTTGTTCCTATAAACTTGTAACTGAGCAAAATAATATATCATAGAACAAAATTTGCAGAATGCATCTAAAATTCAGGACCCACGATTCCGTGGAATTGAAATTTGGCAAATTCTATAAAAAAATGTATGACATAAGCCTTATCATAAAGCTGTTTATGACATGAAAAGTGTCATAAACATTTCCTGTGCTGATGATTGTCTGTGCTATATACTTCACCATGGGCTAAACGCTTTATGACATAATACAAAATGTCATAAACATTTCCTGTGCCGATATTTCATTGTGCTAGTTTCAAGGCATGGGCTATTTTCAAGGCAGAAATATCTCTGAATGTATCACAACTTTTCCAGGGAACATAGTACATTAGAAGCTCTGCCATTGTTGACATATGTCTCACATATGTCTCAAAGCTGCCTGTGATAAATATAATCCATTCGGGGTACAATATTTCATTCTACTATGTCTATGTCTACTACTACTATGCTAGATGAATGCAATAAAACCGCAATGTTATTGTATGAGTTTAGGTATATCTATGGTTACTTTTTTCTCATATTTTTGCAATATTTCAGTCTTAGTGATTCCACCCCACCCCACCCCCTCCGACCCATAAGAACTTGTAAATATGAATTCTCAATTGAAGTCGGTAATAAAACTGAAATTTCAAACAGGACAATCATTCTGGTGAGAGGAAATCGACTGTGCCATAAAATGTGTAATGAACCTATTCATAAAGATAATTAGTTTTTTAGAAAATAATTTTTCTCATTTATAGGCAAATAACATCGTCAAGTTTGTAGAAATTATCTTGCCATTTTAAAATGCCATTTTCCTTCACATAATCTGAAGATGTGGAATTAAGTTTTAGTTCATAATCGAATGATACTACATCATATAAATCATTTAAATTCTGTCAGTGCATGAAAGATGCTGCCTTAAGTATGACATGTCATTGGCCACTCTCAAAAGATTGCAAACATTAAACTATTTTGCCCTTAGATGGTGTAATAAAAAGACTCAATATGGAACATCTTCCTGCTACTAAGCTTGGAATTCATATTGAGTCTATCCTAAATTATTTTAAGTGTTGATCTTCCTAGTCTTCATATAATACTTCTGTTTGCCAAACTTACTGTATTGCTTGATGAGCTAATAAAAAGAAGAGGTTCACCCAATTACACGGCTAAAAAAGTACATGTTGAACTTTTAGATGCAAATGTGCTGAGAAAACCATTAATAGTATTCCGTATACATGCCGCAGGTTTGTTTCCAAGAATACAATGTCTTTGTTCTACCCGGCTCCCAAACACAACAAACCCTCTGTAGTTAAATCAATGATTCCTTTATTAGGAGCGTCAGCAGCCCCAGCAAAAAGTCTCTCTCTCACAGCAGGCTAACAAGTCTGTCCGGCAGGGAGATGAATAGTTGACTACCACACCTATTCATCTCCGCCCCCTGCTTTTTATCCCCAGAGCTAAGGTGGGGCTTCGCTAGCAGGGGTGGCTCTTCCGTCCCAAGGATCAGCCCATAGATTTCCACTGCTCTCCTCTCCTCTGCCTTCTGCACATCCATGTGTCAGGCACTGGACCCACCTGTTCCTCTTCTTCTTCATCAGCCATCTCCAGACCTGGGGTCTGTTGACTCTCCATCTGAGGGCTGACGGACGGCCCAGGCTCCGCCTCTCTTTCTCTCTCTCTCTCTGCCAGCTCCATTCCCTCATCCCCCTCGGAGCTCTCAGGTTGCCTTGATGCTGACCCTGACTCCCATGCCTCCTCCTCCTCCTCTGATTCGGCTGCTGGAGGGGCTGGTGGCCGACAGGCCACAGCAGTCATATTTTCTGGTGTTGAGTATCTTTGTTTATATTGCATCCCCTAAAACGGGTCCCCAATCCCCAGGCCCCGGACCAGTACCAGTCTATGGCCCATTAGGAACCAGAGTACACAGTTGGAGGTGAGCAGCAGGCGAGTGAAACTGCGCATGTGTGGGATCTAGATTGTGTGTTTCCCTCTCCCTGGTCCGTGGAAAAATAGTCTTCCACGAAACTGGTCCCTAGTGCCAAATAGGTTGGGACTGCTGCCCTATAGTGAGTATTCCGATAGCTGGGAATAGACTTCTTAGCTCTTGGTGAAGACCATTGATTGCTTGTCAATAAGATGCAAACTTAAGGAGAAGAGTAAAGAAAAAAAAGAAAGAAAAGAAGACATTGTCTTATAGAACAGCACAATTGAATTAATTCTGTACTCTTTGTTTTTGTATCCCAGACATTATAAAAAGCGATGTCAGGGTCGTATGCGGAAACATGTTGGGGACCTTTGCCTACAGGCCGGGATGTTGCAAGATTCCCTTGTTCACTATCATATGGCTGTGGAACTTCTCCGTTCTGTAAATGACTTTTTGTGGCTCGGAGGTAAGGATGATAGAGTTGGGAATGAAACTTAATTGTATTTAAAAGGCTTTTGGGCATGACATTATTTGTCACATTATTTCATTCCTTTATGTTATTGGAAGATGGTTTGTGATTAAAAGTGTACATTATTAGCCACCCAGAGTTACTGCATTTAGTGATATGGGGTGGCATAGAAATTTAATAAAAAAATAAAATAAATTATTAATAAACAACAAAACAACAACAATAATACAGTAGGTTATAATAAAAATAAAAATGGCTCTAAAATTCAGAGTAATTTGTGGTTCTTTTTACAATCCCCAACGCATGTCACAACTTTTGAGCACCCCTAATGTTTGGAAATTGAAAGTTGGAAAATTTGACACGCCCTGCCTGAGAGAATATGAACCTTTGCAGAAAATAATAGAGAACACACTCCTTGTCTGTATTTCCTTGAACAGACTTTATGGTGTTCTCTGGGCTTTTGGACTATGAAATACGGAATCCTATACCGGCAGTCCTTGGTTAATGACCACTCAATCAGCAGCTGTTCGAAATTGCAACGGCATTGAATGAGTGGTACTTAGGACTAGTCCTTGAAGACATCTCACCATCCCCATGGTCATGTTATTGCGATCCAGGTGCTTGGCAACTGGCTTACACTTAACAACCGTTGAAACATCCTGTGGCCATGTAATCGCCACTTGTGTGGAAGAGGACCTGATTTGGGGCGCTCACATTGCAGCACTGGTTAAAAGGGCCCAGCAGAGATTATACTACCTGAGACTTCTCAGGAAACAACAACAAAGAAAACAGGGACTGCTGACATTGCTGTTGCTAAACCGTATGGTCACATGACACGGCACTGTATGTGTTAATGAGGGAAATTCATAAAGTTGACCGCATTTGTCAATGCCATTGTTAAGCAAGGACTGCCTGTAATATATGGGATAGAAATCCAAGCATCATTTCTTCGGGTAAAAAGTGTGCTAAAACCTGGAGACCATTGAGTTTGGGGAAATACTGTTAATGTGAAACCCAAAGGTGCTTTTTCAGGAGGCAACTGGACTTCCTTGTTTTTTTTACTTTTTGAAGACGTTTTGCTTCTCATCCAAGGAGCTTCTTCAGCTCTGTGAAAGGATAGTGGGGAATGGAAGGATTTAGATTCCTTTCAGACATAAATCCTTCCATTCCCCACTATCCTGCCAGAGCTGAAGAAGCTTCTTGGATGAGAAGCAAAACGTCTTCAAAAAGAAAAAACCAGAAAGTCCAGCTGCCTCCTGAAGAAGCACCTTTCGGACAACCATGACCTGGATGACTGAGAATTTCTAGAGAAGTTAATGTGAAAGCAAAACTTTGTCCAAATTATTTTATATATTCACGGTAAAAAAAGAGTGATTTCTTCTGTTTTTGGCCAGATGATTAGCTCTTTCCTGAGCATCGATAACTGCCATGCCCACCTTCCTATAGAAGAAAAGCCGAATATTAGGATTCTTTGTAAATGTTTTTACCATTCTTTGTACCTGAACCACTTCCGTGCCTTTTTATATACCTTGTATTTAACGTACTGTATTAGATGTATTATTGTATTAAAGGAAATGTATTTATTACATGTGTAGGCTGTGATAAAACTGCCATTAAAAGAGCTGTTTTCATCTATAGCTGCTCTTGAAGGATTATGCTCAGCCTCCGTCATCTATCACTATCCTGGGGGCACTGGAGGTAAAATTGGGTCTCGCAGGGCACAAGGAGGCTCACTTTCTGCAGAGGCAGGTAACAGGCATAGACCTGGTAAGCAAAAGCTTGTGTAGTTGTTTTTTAAATTGTGATGACATTTTTTTTTTGATCTAGTATATATATGCTGGTTAAATATTTTGCACAATATTTGAGGGTTTGTTTTTCTTTGAATCTTTGTTCAAAGTGTGCCCGTGCCGCATGTAAGATTTATTTTAGCCTTACGTAATTTTAGCCTACAGCTTCTCAATTCTCAGCAGTTTTGTGCACATATATTTATTTTAGCCTTAAGTAATTTTAGCCTACGGCTTCTCAATTCTCAAAGTTTTGTCCACATATAAAAGTTAAGAGTTCAGTGGGGGTTTTTTTAACGTTGAAAAATATACCATGCACAGGAGAAAAATAGCACCGACCTTGCAGAAAGATAGTTTTGCTGCACATGTCAGCGACTGACTGCGAAGCTTACAATTAGCTAGTTTTATTTGGGAGCAGAACTGAAGTAGAAATTAGAAGGTGAAGACAGGTGTGATGCTGGAGGAGAAAAGAAGCTGGATTTTAGACTTGAGACTAAAGAGGTTTTGCTGAATCTGAAGTGTTGATATTAGTGGCGGTGTCAGGAATACTGTACCCGTGGCACTGGTATGATAACACTTCTGAGAACCTTCTAAATTTAAAAAGAAAATGTTTTAGAAAGAATGCACAAGTAGTTCTTGACTTGAAAGTGCAAGTTGGACTAGAATTTAAATCATACATCGAGGAACCCATGTAACTGGACCGGATTTTACGATCATTTTTTGTGGCAGTTGTTAAGTGAATCAGATGGTGATTCCATGTGATTCACACCACAATCAAATCAATCCATTTTCCTCCATTTAGCTTTTTTCCCTGGTCCAACTGTCACAATTGTAGGTAGCTATGAGAAACAGCTAAACTACCGCAGCTAAACTGTATTTGGCTGCTTTGTCCTTGCTTTTCCATACTCGATTCATGCTCATCATTTGACTGCTCAGAAGGTGTACGTGAGCCACCTTTGACATGCAAACTGACTACAGCGGAAATAAAGAAGTTCATTTAAGAACCAATGCAAGTACCACAGTGGCCCTGTCACGCCCAATCAATAGTGAGATGTTTGAAACAGGTCACAGAGGCAGCAAGCAGAGTGAATAGACATGAGAAATGTGAAGGTTATATCAGAGGTTAAGAAGCAAGTCGGCGGCTGATGTCGAAGAACAAGAATCGAAACAAGATTTGATGAAACTCACTTAAACATTTTTGTAACTCAGATCATTGCTTTCTGGTGCTAGTTTATGATTGCATGGAAATTTTTTTGCTTAGCTGGATAAGAAGATTCGTGCAGAGAAAAACTTTAATTTTTGTAGCACAAGGTGTAATTTTGAGAAGATAAAGTTAACAGTATTTGGCTTATAAGAGACTTTTGTGAGGCATATATATGATCAGACGTGGATTTACCATACCAAGCTAAAGGTTGCGCAATTGCAAAAATAACAGCAGATTTGAATTCTTGGTGTAAAAAAACACTTATTTTTTTTAATCCTTCACTGAAAAAAATTGCAAAAATTAATTTTGTCCTACTGAAAGGGGAAAAACGCTGGGAAAAATGCTGCAAATCATTGCCATGTGACTTCAGGACTTTACAACCAGTCCTAAATATGGGTTGGTTGCCAAACACCCAAAACGTGGTGATGTGACCATAAGGGAGCAGGGTGACCTTTTATGATGGCACTGTTTTAAACGACTGGTCAAATATTACCTATATTAAGACTATATTAAGACTAATACTGTAGTGATTAAGATGGACTGGCATTGAGGAAATTGAAGTTCAACTTTGCCTTGAGTTTTGGAAACAGATTCTCTCAACCGAATCAAATTCAAAGGGCTGTTGTGGGGGAAAACTGAAAGAGAGAGAATTATGCAGGGGTGAAATGCTCCCGGTTTGGACCAGATCCCCCAATCCAGTAGCGAAGGAGGCGGGTGGTTCGGAGAACTGATAGCAAAAATCCCTGCCCCCCCCATTGCCCAGCTGAGCCGCGCAATCATCAGAGGCTTTTTTTTTTACTTTTAAAAGCATTTTTTCTACAACATTTTTGGCCGAAAAAATGGTTTTAAAAGTAAAAAAAAAAAAAAGTTGGCCACGCCCACTCAGTCATATTACCCCACCACCACCAAGCCACGCCCACAGAACCGGTAGTAACAGATTTTACATTTCACCACTGGCATTATGTATATCAACTTCAACTTCAAAAATGTAATTAAAATAAAATAATAAAATAAAAATATTTGGAAATGATTTGTTTAGGCAGTGCAGAAGGTTAATGCTGTTATTTTGATTTCCCCCCCCTAGGTGCACAAGAAGTTCTTATTGATCCAGGTATATTGACTTTATAATTATGTTTTAAGGTCAAATGTTTTAAGGTCAAATGTTTTATTAATTTCCAATTGCTTTAGAAATTTCACTGTGTTTCAAAAAAAATATTACACCACACTGATGACTAGAATCTGCGGATTTAAAATTTCCCCAACTGTTCCTTCATCTCGTTTTTTTTTATAACCTATGTTGATTTCTGATAATTCCCATCCAAGTTACAATTTAATCATTTTATGATCTGCTCTAGAATTTTCTCAAATATTGATGTCTGGCTGATCTCTAGTTTCCCCCCTTCAATACTTTTCTTTCCCTGATTTCACACAGGATGATTTGTTTTCCTCCATCATCTGGAACTTCATCAGTTCCGTAGGATTTCTCATAAATCAAACATAAAGATTATATCAGAAAAATCAGCAGATTCCTGTACATCACCAAAAGTCTGCCTATTAGAATGTTCCCAACAACATTAAGAAGTTGGAATTTTGACTATTTGGTTTTGGATATATAGTACACAGCTATTTTTGTTGCTTCGAGGAACTCATTCTCAGATTTAGCTTTCTTAATAATCTCTCTATAGATGTGAGTTTTCTCTAGATGATCTGTACCTCTTTCTACCTCCTGTATGTGTCTTGTTTTGTCTCTCCTCTATTTTTTAGTCTTTGGAATAGGTTGCAATTTTTGACCAGATGTTTTTAAGAACTCCTCAGATTGACTTTCTTTTTTCATTCGCTTCCTTTGCTGTAGAGTCCTACTTACTTCTGCTTTGAGTTTATTAAAATCCACTATTTTAGGCAGGAACACTAACATCCCAGAAGTATTTTAGGACAAATTAGAAATCTTACTCACTTTTATTTCTTAAAGTGTTTGTTCCTTTTTTCAGGCTCTCAGCCAAATGCTCAGACTGGCTGTTGATTTTGATGGAAAATTTTTTAGGGAGCTTCTATAAATGTCCCTGCCAAATACTGTTGGCGAGCTCTTGTTGGTTCTTCCTGTTCACTTGCTCCGGTAGATCCGACCGGCACATTTTCCCCAAGTTTGGAATCCAACTTTCTTTTAATTGTAATTTTTATGATAGCAAATTCATCCAAAATGCTGTGAGTCATTTCCTTCAGTAAATTGCTGCGGCTAAGAGAATCATCAGTTAAATGATAGTATAATTAAATTAAGTTAGTAGAATATAAGAGGTAAGTATCAGTTTAATAATTTTGCCAGAACTTTTTCTCTATGCAAGTCTTGGCGTATTCGGGTCTTTTCCCGTGTAAGATTGAGAGTATCTTGGCAACGTTTCGACGAGGTCCCACTCGTTATCTTCAGGCTGGTGTCCTCGGCTTCGTGCTTTCCTCGCGCAGGCATGAAGCCGAGGACACCAGCCTGAAGATGACGAGTGGGACCTCGTCGAAACGTCGCCAAGATACTCTCAATCTTACATGGGAAAAGACCCGAATACACCAAAACTTGCATACCTCTACCCATAAAAATCTACGAAAATATTTATATATGTATATATATATATATATATATGCTAGAGCCCATCTTCGAGGAACTTCTCTAGCTAGAGTCTAAAACCTCTGGTCCCGGTGACCGACCCAGATTGGATCCTGCAACATTATCCTGGGACACATGTATTTGCCTTCATTCGTAAAAAATATTTATTGGTACAAGCAAAATGTAGTCAAAATGGCAGAGATCTTGAGAGTTTTCAAAATGTATTGAGTCCTGCATTAAGCAAATCAAAAATTGCTTGAATTAAAAGCTGGATGGATATATATATATAGGTTTTAGACTCTAGCTAAAGAAGTTCCCCGAAGATGGGCTCTAGCACGAGTCCGAAAACTCGGAAGACAAAACCTCTGGTCCCAGTGACTGACCCAGATTAGATCCTGCATGAATATTTTTAACTCGGTTGAAATGAGGAGTCTTTGCTAGTCACTAATACTGATGATGTTACTTAGTTTGGGTAATGTGACGGCCAGAAAAAAAACAACCAAGCTCAAGAGAGAACCAAAGACCCTCCCTTGAGTAGTTTGTTCCTTACTTAAGCTTTTTTTTTTTTGGGAGTTAGCAAGAATTTCCAAAACATGTTTGTTTTAATTCTGACCTGAGGGGTGGTGGTTGAACTGAAATTTCCTGCTTTAATGTTGTGCAGGGGCCCTCACATCAAATGGCATCAGTGCAGATACAAGTTCTGAAATAGGACGAGCTAAGAATTGTCTGAGCCCCGAAGACATCATTGAGAAGTACAAAGAAGCTATCTCCTACTACAGCAAGGTAACGTTGCTATCATAAGCGAATTTATATACGTGAATGATAAATATGCATCAGTGATAATAGACTCTGGCTGGCTCAGGGAATTCTGGGAATTGAAGTCCATAGGTCGTGAAGTTAGCATAGTTGCCCACGCCTGGATTATACACCACAATGTACATGGCTGATAATAGACTTAAAGAACAGTTGGCAATTTGTGAAAGTGCTAATTGGCTGAATCAGCACCTTTTCACATATCATATTTTTGTACAATAAAATCTGCTAAAGAATGTCAGTGTAAATTGTTTTTTTTAAAAGGGAAATTCTAGATTCATACCCAAATGCAAAAAGGTTTATTTGTATATTTAGAGTGAGAAGTAACATAAATGTAGGGTTGACCAATCTTTTATCAAATCTTGGGCTTGTTGCTGTCCTAGTCCTTTCGCGTTTCCCATTTTGGCTCAGTTACCAGAAGAAATTTGGAGTCTTCAGTTAAAAATAGAAATGAATCATTATCTCTGCCTCAACATGGCCTGATTTTGATTAACGATAAGTGGATTGGAGAAACAAATCAACTTCCAAACAAGGTTTAGGTTACTAGGATTTTCTTCTCCAAAGCTTTTCTGAAAGGCATTTGGGATTATGCCATGATCAAGATTTATTTGCTTTATGTCAGCCATACAAGTCAATTATGCTTTTTATAAACTCTGAAAGTCCTTCAGGATTGCAGCAAGGTGTAAGTATTATAAATAAATATATTTCCAGCAGAGCACAGCAACCACAGCAGAAAACGTAGATATAGTTGTAAACATTGTTAATCAACAGAAAAAAACTAAAGATGCTTGTTTTTTTGCTTGTGATAATATCAGTAGTTTAAGAGGATTTTGGATCTGCACATTCATATATTCATATATTCAGTCAATCTTTTGAGAAATGGAACTGCTTTTTTATTATTTATAAGAGCATTTGCTTTGCAGTGGAGTTTTTAAACATTGCCCCAGTGATGAAATCCAATTTTTTTTACTACCGGTTCTGTGGGTGTGGCTTGGTGGGCGTGGCAGGGGAGGGATACTGCAAAATCTCCATTCCCACCCCACTCCTGGGGCCAGCCAGAGGTGGTATTTGCCGGTTATCCGAACTACTCAAAATTTCCACTACCGGTTCTCCAAACTGCTCAAAATTTTCGCTACCGGTTCTCCAGAACCTGCTGGATTTCAGCCCTGCATTGCCTTCCATTTTTGACTTGTGGGTTGGAAGGAGAAGAGATAAAAGTGGTGATTTGGGAAGGTAGGAATCAAGGAAGAAATTTATTTATTTATTTATTTTTATTTGATTTATATGCCGCCTTTCTCCGGAGACTCAGGGCGGCTTACAATGAGTTAAGCAATAGCCTTCATCCTTTTGTATATTTATACAAAGTCAGCTTATTGCCCCCACAAACTGGGTCCTCATTTAACCTACCTTAGAAAGGATGGAAGGCTGAGTCAACCTTGAGCCTGGTAAGATTCGAACCTGCAGTAATTGCAGGCAGCTGTGTTAATAACAGGGTGCTTTAAGCCACTGTACTACCAAGGCTACTTATTTATTTATTTATTTATTTATTTATTTATTTATTTATTTATTTGTTTGTTTGTTTATCAAGAGTGCATTAGGTAATTTATATAATTATAAGCATGAATTGAATACGTAAAATAGATACAAGTAGAGGAAACATTAGGACAGGGGCGGTAGGCACGCTGGTGCTCTTATTGTTGGTGGAATAGCTGCAAGTTATCTGTAAAAAGGCATAATTATTAAGAAGGCATAACTATAGATTAGGTATGTGCATTGTGTGCACATAATTTCCCCCCTTTTTAAGCACTTTGATTCTCTAGTAGAAGTCCTCGACTTTCAACAGTTCATTTAGTGACCATTCAAAGTTACAACGGCAGTAAAAAAAGTGATTTAGGACCATTTTTCACACTTATACCTGTTGCGGCATCTCCTAGTCACATGTTCAAAATTCAGACGCTTGGCAACTGACTCATATTTATGACGGTTGCAGTGTCCCAGGGTCATGTTTTGCAACCTTCTGGCAAGCAAAGTCCAGATTCACTTAACAACCATGTTACTAACTTGACAATTGCAGTGATTCACTTAACAACTGTGACAAGAAAGGTCATAAAATGAGGAAAAACTCACTTAACAAATATCTCACTTAGCAACATAGATTTGGGGTTCAATTGTGGTCGTAAGTCGGGGACTACCTGTACTCTGGAGCTAGAAGTTATAGCAAAGCTACTAAAAATACTGCTGTGATGAATCTTTGTCTTGTAGCAGTGTGACATTTGGAATATAATTATATCTAGATTAAATGGAGTTTTAGTGGGAACCAAAAAGAAAGATATTGGATACTGTGTATAGAGATGTGAAGGCTAGAAGAAAATGCAGGCGTTTCAGAAAAAAAATTCATAATTTAATTTTTTTCTAATACCTTTTTTAAAGGCCTTTTGAAAAGAAGAATTGCAAAGTAGTATTTCTTCATATTGTTTTAGGGGAACACAAAAAACAGTTAACATATGAAAGTATGTTTTGAAATACATTAAATAAAATATAGAATAAGATATAAAAGTGTAAATCCTTCCTTTCTAAGGTAGGTAAATTGAGGACCCAGTTTGTGGGGGCAATAAGTTGACTTTGTAAAAATATACAAAAGTATTGCTTAACGCATTGTAAGCCGCCCTGAGTCTCCGGAGAAGGGCGGCATATAAATCAAAATTAAAAAAAAAAAAAAAGCTTTTTACCCCCCAATATGGGCTTACTTGTCTGTTTTCCAAGTACATAAAAATTATGAAATGATAAAAACTATGTTTGATTAGAATTTATGTACAGTATTTCAGATTTAGAAAACAAGACCAATTAAAGATGTTATATGATAAAATATGCATTTTGATCTTTGGATCCCACCCAGCTTTTTTTTTTTTAAAGAAAAAAGTCTGTGTACTATATTAAGAATAGTAGAATAAAAAATCTAAAACTTTATTTTATTGCATTGTTGATGGCTTATTTTGTTTCTTTGTCATTTTGGGGGAAAGTGTTTCTGATACCAGATTTCTGATACAGTCAACTCTGTATTGGTGAGACTTGCTCTGTGTTACCATTAATTTTTCTTAAATGGCTGACTAAACAAGTTTGGAATCTGGGTTGTGATGTTCTTACAACACAGCTGACCTGACCTGATGGGTTAAAACTAACCTTCTGTCTCCCTGCCTGAGTTATGCATTCCAGCAAAGTATTTTCTATGTGTGAACAGGGCCAACGAAGTGCATGCAGAGCAGAGGGATGCTTTGTCTTTGCAATGGAAGGCTCCTGATGATCTTACTAGGTTTAAACAGTGAAAACAGCCTACCTTTTGTTGGAAAAGTTGAAGGCTGCGGTCATTAATTCTTCTGGGTATCTTCTCATTCAGCACTCCATATGGTACAGCACCGGATCAAAAACACGGGGTTATAGTCAGTTATAGTAAAGTCTCAGCATCATATTAATCTTACTCGACAGAGGAAGAGGGAGGGAGGGAGGGAGGAAGGAACGAAGGAAGGGAGGAAGCAAGGAGAAAGATGGGGAGGAAGGGAGGCAGGAGGAAAAGGGAAGGAAGGAAGGAGAAAGATGAGGTAGAGGAAGGGAAGGAAGGAAGGAGAAAGATGAGGTAGAGGAAGGGAAGGAAGGAAGGAAAAAAGATGGGGAGGAAGGGAGGCAGGAGGAAAAGGGAAAGAAGGAAGGAGAAAGATGGGGAGGAAGGGAGGCTGGAGGGAAAGGGAAAGAGAAGGAAGGAAAGAAGGAAGGAAGGAAGGAGAAAGATGGGAAGGGAGGGAGGAAGGAGAGAGAGGAAGGAAGGAATTAATTGAATTTTGACTGTCCTTTCCTGCATCATTTCACTTAGTGGAATTTCTTGGTATTACTCAAATGGTATAAAAAATAGGATGGTTTCATAATTTGTGGCAACCATATGGTTTGGTTAACGATAATAGCCATGTATTAGCCCTGGCTACACCTCAGCAAAATAGCTTGATCTGGTATATACGAAAGAGTCCCTAGGATTCTTCTAGAGAAATACATTGTATAATGTGACCAGGAAGCATACAATAGATCACTATTTTAATCCATCATGTATGTTTTATAGTATAAGAACGCTGGCGTCATTGAGCTGGAAGCTTGTGTGAAGGCGGTGAGAGTGCTTGCAATACAGAAAAAAAGCATGGAAGCTTCTGAATTCCTCCAAAATGCTGTTTATATTAACCTTCGTCAGGTGAGAACACACTTTCCTTTTACCTGGGAATTAATTTCTCCATCCGTCTTTGGATTATTTTTAAGAATAGAAGAACCTTAATAATTTTCACCAAATGCCTGTCTGGTTCTCTGCCTTGTTTGCCCACAATGAGGAACTTGATGCTTGCAAAAAACCATTCTGTAAAAATAATATCCGAGTTTCCAGAAATAGTACTAAGCCACATTCTCTATTTATATGTTTATTCTCTTTTGTTATTTTGCACGTATAGTAAGTTATTCCTCAAACGTAAATGCTTAACTCTAGAAAGCAGCTGTTTCTTACAGATTGAAAGTATTGGCATTTTAAATATACATTATTTCTTACCAAGCTTTCAGATTTCCTTGTATAGATAATGGAGAAAATGCCTTTTTCCATTATATATTCCATAAAATGCAGATAGGCAACAAGCTGTTTTCCTATTGGCACGTAGCTTGGGGTTCACCAAGTTTCCTGTCTACAAAACACCATTTTAAAAAGATATTTAAAAAAAAATTAGAAGGGAGTTGGCCACTGCAAAATGTCTCCAATTATTCTTCCTTTGTGTACATTCAACTTTGTTAAATAACATAGTACTTTTTTTTGTTTTATAAAAAAAATTCATTAGATTCTTTTGGTATACTTGAACAAAATTTGCAGCAGACTTTACATTCGTATTTTAACATTACACTAGGGGTCAGCAGTGTTGCATCATAAAAATGATTAATGCTCTGATTGGACTAGTAGCAATATAAAATACTGTTTAATAGACTTAAATTATCTAAATACAGTGCTTTGCTTTCGGGGGAGGGGGCTTACTCTCTCGTGCAGAGTTATTTCTGTCTTTAACTGGAATAGTTACATGACAAAAATAGACTTAACGGAATTGTAGAAGCCAACTCCTGCTCGGTGCAGAAATTCAAATTAAAGCAGATGGCAGTCCAATCTCCGCTTTAATGGACTGAGCAAAGGGAAGCCTGTTGGGTTTAGAGGCACCCAACCTCTGGTTAAAGAACCTAGTGGGCTTTTCATACAATAAGAATACTGCTGGGTTGGTTGGAGTTGAAATTAAATTTTGTCTTTTGGGAACTTGTAATATTTTGATACCCAGCAAGATTTTTGGTACTCCCTGAACAGCTGCTGTAAACAAGAACAAATACCTGCTGAATAGCTGATGATGCATAACATTTTAAATCTTGTAGGAAAACAAAATAACATAATCCTCCTCCTCCTCCCCCCCCCCCCCTCCCCCTCCTCCTCCTCCTCCTCCTCCTCCTCTTTTTCCTCCTCCTCCTTCCATTTCCATTGGGGTTTCCATTTTACCTTAGTCATGAGATAGCTTTCACTCTTCCATTTACCTAGGGCATATTTTGCTTTTCTTTCGTGAGCTTCTGTTTCATCGTTTTCAGGGAAACAGAAGCTCACGAAAGAAACGCCATGGAGATCTGACCTGGGGCGATGGCACGCGTGCCAGCAGAGAGGGCTCTGCCTGCCACCTCTGGCATGTGTGCCATAGGTTCGCCATCACGGTGCTAGGCAGTGGCATAGATCTTAAAAACACACTCTGCTGAAAACCCAGATGCTGATCTGATAAGAGATGGAATTCAGTCTGTTTCCCTGGAATATTCCATAAAATGCTAGCAGAATATTAAAGTATGTTCATCTGGTATTACAATATGTAGGTAACTTTCCAATGCTAATTACAGTTATTTTTATAAAATTGTTTCTCAGCTGCTTATATAACAGATGTTCAGAATCCAGCAGCAAGTTCTTCCTTGTTCTGTTTTTCTTTTAGTTATGTATGGGCTTCAGAAAAATGTTTTCCACTTTTATTTTTCTTCCAGTGCGTTCACACATCCCTAGGCAGTTTAGAAGTCAAATTATCAAACTATAAACATTTGTAACAATTCTCCCAAACTTACTAAAATGTTAAAATAGCCTCCTAATGATTGGATATGCAGATTTTAAGTCTTCAAGAACCTATGTGAAAAGTCTCGTTTTAAATGCTTTCTAAAAAAGTAATCATATTGGGTTAGTCCAATATTCAGCAGGGTGGGCCATATGTCAGAAAGACGGCAGCAATAGACAAGTGTGGCTTGTCTTAAACCACAATGCTTTGTTTGGTAACAGAGATTTAAAATGATTTATTATTGCAGTTACTTATACATTGGAAGAGGCAAACTGCAGGTTTTTTTAGGTTACAGTGAAAAAATACCTGATGTGGAAATGTCTGTCGAGCATTCATACATCACATGTTTATGTTAGATGTTTGCTGAGTGAAATTTTATTTCCTTTGTCTGTCTGTCTGTTTCTGTCCATCCATCCATCTATCTATCCAGTGGTGGTATTCAGCTGGTTCGGACTGGTTCAGGCGAATCGGTGGTAAAAATATGTGAAACCCACATCTATCTATCTATCTATCTATCTATCTATCTATCTATCTATCTATCCATCCATCCATCCATCCATCCATCCATCCACACGCACACGCTTTCAGAGCTTATTTTTCTTGCCTTTTTTGCATCTTTTTTGCATTTTGCTTATGGCAATTTTGGTTATTAAAATTCTTTTTAAATCAATTGTCCCCCCCCTTTTTTCTAAAAAAAAAACCATCAGCTTTCTGAAGAAGAAAAGATCCAGCGCTACAGCATTCTTTCTGAGCTCTATGAGCGAATTGGATTTCATCGCAAATCCGCTTTTTTCAAACGAGTGGCCGCCATGCAGTGTGTAGCCCCAAGCATCGTAGAACCTGGTTGGAGAGCCTGCTACAAACTTCTTCTGGAAACGCTTCCTGGTTATAGCCTGTCTTTGGATCCTAAAGATTTCAGCAAAGGTACAAAGTTTGGCTTAGAGGGAAGCAAGCCAACAAACCCAACACTTCCTATTTGTGCTTTTATGTAATAAAGCTAAATGAGTGAGAATAAAAAAATCAGTAGACTAAAGTTGCTCACAGGTGCTTTTTTCAAGAGGCAACTAGACGTTCTGGTTTTTCTTTGAAGATGTTTCACTTCTCATCCAAGAAGCTTCTTCAGCTCTGACTGGATGGAGGGGAATGGAAGGATTTATACCCCTTGCTTGGAAATGACCAGCTGTCTGTAAGAAGTATAATTCCTCACCATCCAGTCAGAGTTGAAGAAGTTTCTTGGATGAGAAGTGAAACATCTTCAAAGAAAAACCAGAAAGTCCAGTTGCCTCTTGAAAAAAGTATCTTTGGTACAACCTGTGGATGACGGAGAATCTCCATAGACATAACGTTGTCCACCTTATTTTCCCTCGAGCAGAACTCTTCCTTGTACGAAAAGCCTTTGTGAATGAAAGGAGTTCTATGTTTTACAGTTTAGTTCTTTGTTTTTAGAATTTAATTGACAACTTAATTTTTCAGACATAACATTCCTTCTGTTTTGCTTGAATGGTAATTAAGGTCAGAAGTATGCAACAATGATGATAAGCATGTTGAGAGCACATGAATGTCAGATTGAAGGTATATTAATCAAAATCCAAATGTTCATTATGATCTGTACTTTGTGTCACAAAATAATTCGATGAAGTGGAAAATATGAAGCTTTTTTTTCCCCAGAGGGCAAAAATATTTTTATTGTGTTGAGGAAGAAATAATTTTTCATTGGTTGAGATGGACAGCCATTGAAATTGAACAAATAAATAAATAAATATACAGTAGCATAAAAGATACATAAACATTGTTCAAGGAAGTTCATAGCTTTTTATGGGCCTTGCACATAGATAAATTCAAATTCCTTATTTAGAAGATTATGGCATTGGCAATTCTTGGAACCCTTTCTGATCACTGATGTCTTGCTACTAGGAATGCAAATAAACTTTATATCACAAGATAATCATTTTTGCTCCCGTACTAGCAGATGAATGGCTACCCTGTTTCCCCCAAAATAAGACATCCCCTGATAATAAGCCCAATCAGGCTTTTGAGTGCATGGGAATAAGACCAAGCGCTTATTTCAGGGTTCAAAAAAATATAAGACAGGGTCTTATTTTCGGGGAAACACGGTAAATGCGACCCTTTCATTTTATCTCCTGGATAGCCCTCAGTGTAGGATTTGGTAACCTTATCAATATCAGACCCATATATGGAAGCCATTGCTGAATGAAGATTGAGTGACTATGCTGTATTAAAAGTGTATTAACAGAACATATGTTATTTTGCTCTTTTTAAAGGAACTCATCGTGGTTGGGCTGCTGTGCAGATGCGTTTACTTCACGAGTTAGTGTATGCCTCTAGGAGAATGGGAAACCCAGCACTTTCCGTCCGACACTTATCTTTTCTTTTACAAACCATGCTAGATTTTCTTTCTGACCAAGGTATTCATTTTATTAAAAAAAATATTACAATTTTTCATGTATATTATATACCCTGTTTCCCCCAAAATAAGACATCCCCTGATAATAAGCCCAATCGGGCTTTTGAGCGCATGGCAATAAGGCCAAGCGCTTATTTCGGGGTTCAAAAAAAATATAAGAAAGGGTCTTAATTTCGGGGAAACACGGTATGAGAATGGAGTGGTTCTGCAAACTCCGCATTGGTGACAGGAAGGGCATCCGGCCAGTCTGCAGAATGTTTTCCTGACCAAACTACAAACTTCCTTTGAATATTTCTCATTTTCAAAATGGAACATACTTTGTCCCTTTTTGAATTGTTACTCCGTCCTGTCTCAAAGAGACAATGCAGGGTATTGCATTGTCAGTATTACACAAGATTAACTGTTAATTAAAAGCTTTTCAATTCTCTTCCCGCAATAAAAGTTTATGCAGGGGTGAAATCCTACCAGTTCGCACCAGTTCAGACGAAGCGGTAGTGATAAAAACTACCAGTTTGGGCAAACCGGTAGTAAAAAAAAAATCTACCAGTTCATCTGAACTGGTATTTCCAACGATCAGCTGTGCCACGCGATTTAAAATAGCTAGAAAGCAGGAAATCTACACCATGCGGCATAGCTGCCCCCCCCCCCCCCCCCGTTAAACTTACCTTCCGATGCCTCCTTTTTCTGCGTGTTTGGCCCATACTGTGCATCCAAAGTAGAACTTTCAGGTAGTTGGGCAAAGGTTGGAGACAAAGTAGAACACCTGATATGCAACTCTGTAGGGTTTTCCGTTTCAACTCTTTTTTTTTTTTTGTCTTTTGTTTTCATAGTTTTGCTGTTTTAACAACTTTGTGATATCATGTTACATAAACATATAGAGGGTAATATGCTACTTGTTTAAAAAAATGTTTGTTCCATGTCATATATGACTACAAGAAAACTGGATCCAAACGTCTACCAAAATTATTTTATAATTTGTGAAGATTTTACAGTAATTAGTCTCGGAGCTCCTCAGAGTACCAAGATTCACCCCAAGATTAGCACACAGGGAGAAGACACATAGGAGCAATCCAGTGCATTTTCTTTCATTTCACAAAAGAAAACAATAATAATGTATGCTTTGATGTTGACAAAATGAAATTTTCATTTGACATAACAGATTGCTTTATATCGTCCATTTTATACTGTCAAACTTCCCGAAACATTATTGTTGATGTACACCTTTTTAAAATAAAATAGATGACAGTGAAGAATGGGATAATAAAAAAAATAAGAGCATCTAAAGTATAACAACTTTCCAGAAAATCACAATGAAGAGATACATCAGGGTATTGCTTTGCCTGGTTGGTGCATGAAATTAAATTCTGAAACTAGAAGAGTTCAAACTTAAAGGAATGTCCTGATGACAGTAGAATAAACCTACTAAGCTTAATTGGAGAATGTTGAGGAATGGTAGGTCTGCTGTATTACTAGAATACGTATTTCTTTATCCTGAATAAAATAAGCCAGGGTTTATCATATTGGCTGTGTGATAAGAATAGATGCATTTTTCATTTCACCAAACTTGATTTTAAGAGCAGAGTCGATGACAGTATGGCTTGAAACCTTGAATGTAGCAATTAAGCAAATGCTTGAAGTTTTTATTAATGAGGCCCTAAATTGAGACTTGGACAGTCAGTCATGCTCTGCCTGTATCTGAAATAGTTTAGAGAAAGCATCTTCCATTTTCTGCTGCTTTTCTCACTTTCAAGTTCCAAGGTTTCCATTTCAAACCAGTTTTTCGGTCCTCAGTTTTGAAACCATGCCATCATCTATTACAGGGGTGCCCTGGAAACAGCGAAGGACTGGTCTACTGTGTGTCTGCTAGTGAAAATGGAGCTTGGGAGGGCTGCCCGCAGCTCTCCCAGGCTCCATTTTCGGCTGTGACGGCCTCCTGCAGCCCTATGCCAGCGAAAACAGAGCTTGGGGGGGATCATGCACATATTTTCAGTGGTAGGGAACTGCAGGAGACCATTGCAGCCAAAAACGGAGCTTGGGAGCCTGTTTTTGCAGGTGGAGTGCTCAGGCCACCACAGGCGCACCCCCCCCCCCCCCCGGACACGAGTGATGTCAAGCTGGCCATGCCCACCCTAGCCACGCCCATCCCAGTCCCCCAAGGTCAAACACAACCCTGATGTGGCCCTCAATGAAATTGAGTTTGACACCCCTGTATTATAAGTTCATCTGCATTACTCTTTTATTCTCTATCTTGTCTATCTTTTTTTTTTATCTTGTTGCCCTTTGCATTCTCACACATAGGATACCTAAGGCAACTAACAGGTAATTTAAAAACTAAGCCAGTTAAAGCCTAATGAAAACCAGAGTTCAGATAATCATTTTCAAACTGAGCCTGACTGAAAGAGGCTTTTACTTCGTTTATGAATTCCACTGCTTGGAAATACATAACAGAACATATATTTTTTTCCCCTACTTTCTCAACAGATTTTTTGAGGGTAGAAAGAAATGGTAGTCTGGTTTTCTTGAGATCTGTGCCTTTCAGTCTTCTTTCCTATATTTCTTCTTTTTCAATGTGGGACTTTGCTTCTCAGCTTTTAAAATCCTTTATGGACAGGTAGTCCTCAACTTACAACCAATTTGTTTAGTGACCGTTCTAAGTTACAACAGCACTGAAATTCAGGCACTTGGCAGCTTGCTTATATTTATGATGGTTGCAGCATCCATGAGTCATTTGATTATAATTTGCAACTTTCCCAGCCGGCTTTCAACAAGCAAGGTCAGTGGAAGAAGTCATATTTGCTTAATGACCATATGATTCACTTAACAATTGGCAAGAAAGGTCATAAAATGGGGCAAAAGTCACTTAACAATTGTCTTGCTTACCAGTGAAAATTGTGTGTCTTTGGTTCCTACAACATTTGTAAGGTAGATAATTATATAATTCAATACAATAGTAATGAGAATTCTGTTCCCTTTTAGAAAAGAAAGATGTAACACAAAGTCTAGAAAACTATACATCAAAATGCCCAGGAACAATGGACTTCATTACCCTTCCAGATGGCTTAAAGCTCCCCCCTGTGCCATTCACCAAACTTCCTATTGTAAGGTAAACTACCTTTTGTTTCCGTTCTTTACGTCCTGTGAGAGGATATAGTAATGAATCTTATGTCACATAGGCCTCATTTGGGATGGTACTAGAGAACAATGTTAGACGGAGGGCAGTGAACTGTTTCAGGAGGAAATCACTTGGGTAAAAGCAGGTGCCTTTCGGAGGAGATTGAAACTTCTGTAAGCTATAATTGAAACCACCTCTTGTATTCTGGTGGCATTATGGGATGCCTGTTTGTAGATGGTGCTGCCCTGTCATCGCCACCTTTTTAAGTGTTTTCTTGAGGAGGACATTGAGAAATACAAGCTCCTTTAAAGAACAGCCAATGGGTATAGGGAGGATACCTATGCCAGTTTTGAAGCACCTTTGTGAATTTTATGTCATTGTTTTTGAAATTCCTGTTCTGTTCTGTTCTGTTCTGTTCTGTTCTGTTCTGTTCTACTTTATTCTACCCTCTTCTACTCCACTCCACTCCACTCCATTCCCATTCTACATTCAATTTCACATTCCACATTCTATTCCTATTTTACACTCTACTCTACTCTACTCTACTCTACTCTACTCTACTCTACTCTACTCTACTCTACTCTACTCTACATGCCACATTCCATATTCTATTCTTATTCTACATTCTACTCCACTCCACTCCACTCCATTCCACTCCATTCCCATTCTACATTCAATTACACATTCCATATTCTATTCCTATTCTACATTCTACTCCACTCCACTCCATTCCACTCCATTCCCATTCTACATTCAATTACACATTCCATATTCTATTCCTATTCTACATTCTACTCCACTCCACTCCACTCCATTCCCATTCTACATTCAATTACACATTCCATATTCTATTCCTATTCTACATTCTACTCCACTCCACTCCATTCCACTCCATTCCCATTCTACATTCAATTACACATTCCATATTCTATTCCTATTCTACATTCTACTCCACTCCACTCCACTCCATTCCCATTCTACATTCAATTCCACATTCCACATTCCATATTCTATTCCTATTCTACATTCTACTCCACTCTACTCCACTCCACTCCACTCCATTCCATTCCCATTCTACATTCAATTCCACATTCCATATTCTATTCCTATTTTACATTCTACCCTACTCTACATTCCACATTCCATTCCATTCTATATTCTGTATTCTATATTCTATATTCTATATTCTATTCAGCTCTACTCCATTCCATTCCATTGCATCCCATCCTCATAGTTGGTCAATTCTTGCATGGCTGTTTAATGAAGCTGTTGAATGTCATTCCTTTATTTAAGGAACCGAGTTTGGAAGAGCTGAAATATTTCCCCATTTTAAAACTTAGCAGTTTGAGGGTATTTTTAGTTTTGATCTTAGATTTGTATCCATTTAATCTTTTGTACAGAGATTTGCAAGCCTCCCCGGTATATAGAGCACTAGGGGATTGCTGAGAAATTGATTGTTCCACGGAGATGTTAATGTTGTGAATGGAATTATAAGATCCTGGATTGGTGCTTTCAGTGAAGAAGTGAAAGTGGAATTGAGCCTGCATGCTATATGTCCATATGACTATGACTTGAGTTATTATTATCTAATAGTATTTAGTAGTTTTAGTATTAGGAAGTATGTGAAGTATGTGAAAAACACGATGGCTTGATAATATCAAAACTGATACAAAGATGAACAACCAACAAATGAACAAAGCTGTGCTTGACAGGATATCATGGAGAGCACTTGCCTAGAAAGCCGCCAAGAGTCGGACATATCTGAATGGTTAAAACAACAAATTTACTAGAGGTAGTCCTTGAGTTACAGCAGTTCATTTAGTGACCATTCATACTTACAACGGCACCCAAAAATGGGATTTATGACCGATTTTACACTTAACAACTGTTGCAGCATCCCCATGATTATGTGACCAGAATTCAGATCCTTGGCAACTGACTCATATTTATGACGGTTGCATGTCCTGGAGTTATGTGATCACGAATAGAATAGAATAGAATAGAATAGAATAGAATAGAATAGAATAGAATAGAATAGAATAGAATAGAATAGAATAGGAATACTTTACTGTCACTTTGAATCTACACTAATCAGCATACATTAAAATGAAATTATGTTGCATACAACTTTCAAACCTTTGCGACTTTCTGATGAGCAAAGTCAATGGGGAAGCTAGATTCACTTAATAGCCATGTTACTAATTTAACAATTGCAGTGATTCACTTAACAACTGTGGCAAGTATGGTTGTAAAATGGGGCAAAGTTCACTTAACCCCTGTCTCATTTAGCAAGAGAAATTTTGGACTACCTGTACTTTAGTATTTTCTACTTATTTTTGATGACACGATTGTCTTTTGATTACAAGGCATCCAAGGCTATAAAAGGAACGTGTGGACAGTTCGCTAGTGCTACACTTGAGTGTCTGTATCTAGGAGATGTTAGGGTTAGGGTTACAGCGGGGCAAGACTCACTTATCAAATGTCTCACTTAACAACATAATTGTTAAGTGAGACAATTGTGGTCATAAATTGAGGACGACCAGTACAGTACTCCTATATCTTCTTCCCATCTTTGTTACATCTAATTTGAATCTGTTACTCTCTGCCCATTGGTATCTTTTTGAATTTTTGTCCAAGTTCTGAATTCAGAGTTCTTTTGAAAGATTTTCCTTCTTTTTTCTATGCCTGTTTCCATCTCCAGTGATTTGATAGACGTCATACTGCTTGTCTCTTCTGAGAGTTCTCTGAAACTCTCTGAAAAGTTCCTTACTGAGTCTTTTTTCTTTCTTGGCTTTGGCCTCTCTCTCTTCTTCTTGGCAACTTCCACGATTTGTTCTGACATCCAGCTTGCTTTCTTCTGCTTCTTCATCTCCAGCAGTCTCTTTTCACAGTCTTCCGAATGACTTCTTCAAATTCATTCCTCCGGGTTCCTATCAATGAGATTCAGAGCTTCAAAGCGATTCTTGATATTCTCCTTGAAAATGATATGAGGTGTAAGATCACAGAGTGGAAATTGGTTGGTTTTCTTCTTCTTCTTTGGCTTTACTGTGTGGAACTCGCACATGAGCGGTTGGTGATGTGATGGCGAACCTATGGCATGCGTGTCAGAGGTGGCACACAGAGGCTACTCTGTGGGCACACGCGCCAGCTGCTTTTCTGGTTTCCAGTGTGTGCGCCGGAGTGCTGGAAACCCGAAGATGAGCTGGCCGGCGTGCATGCGCTCACTGGAAGCCCAAACACCAGCTGGTCGGCGCACGCATGCGCACCATCCTGCTGGTCTTCCGATTTCCGGCGCTCCTGTGCGTGCATGCACACACGTTCTGGTTTGGGCACTCGGTGCCGAAAAGGTTCACCATCACTGTATTAGACAGTTAGCAGCTGGCCATGTCTTGGATGCTATAATGGAGATAATCCACCACCTTTACCAATAATACAATCATTTTGATCTCGGTGTTTTCCATCTGGTGATGTCCATGTTTACAGACGTGTCTTGGTTGTTTGGAGGCAAAAGAAATCACTGGAGCAGCAGAAATTAATAAAAGTCTGTAGAGATTCTCAGTCATCCAGGTTGTGGTTGTTCCAAAGGTGATTTTTGAGGAGGCAACTGGTCTTCCTTGTTTTTTTTTTCTTTTGAAGACATTTCGCTTCTCATCCAAGCTTCTTTATTATTAATAATCCTGGATGTGCATTGAATCAATATTTAGTCATATTTAGGGCACATCTTGAAATTTTGTATTTTAATGAGTTTCAGTGACTTTACTGGATCTGCTTTACATCCAATTAGATTCATCGCATTGTATATACATAAGTAACTTTGAATTGATAGAATGATCCTCTTCATTGTTTTTATGGTTTCCAAGTCATTAATGCGGTGTTTCTATTCGGAGTTCACTAGGGAGTTCTAATATTGTCATGTATCTTATCATTTTACATAAAAGCTTTATACTGTTACTGTTCTTAAATGGTGAATTTATAAGAAGTGGGCAAAGAGATCAGGACAGATGGAAAGAAAAGCTATAATTAGTGTCTATCATGCTGATAATCCATGCTATTGTATCTGTCATTTGAATTGTCTCTCCTAAATTTGAATTTTGTAGCCGCTGTACATAAAAACAATCCCTTGTTCCTTGAACAGATCTGTCAAGCTCCTAAACCTCCCCGTTAGCCTTCGGCCACAGAAAATGAAAAGCCTGCTGGGTCAGAACATGGCAACGAAAAGTCCCTTTATATATTCGCCAATAATCGCTCACAGTCACGGAGAGGAGCAAAGCAAAAAAATAGGTGAGAAGCTCATTATTTTTTTAACTTGCATTCTCGTTTTTACATGCAGTATCTCGCTGGGGCTTGTTTTCTGGCTCTGATGCTGCAAATTGACCCAAATCGCGATTTGCCAATTTTGGGATCAATATGCTATTTCCTCTTCTTGATGATAAAATTGACAGCTTGGCACAGACGTATCCAGCTTTGTTTGTAGGGTATGTCGCTAGCCCATTGTCACACGAACCTTGATTTACAATATGTAGTGGAAGAATTATAGACTGACTGTAAGAATCCTTCATAAAAATGTGTCCTTTTGATATTTTTACGAATGTATTGAGACCTTTCGAACAAATTGGTCCTAGATTCCTGAAATAAGTTTATTTCTAGCCTACTTATACCATTCCATTTAAAACAAGGCAAGATGGTGTGCAGCAACTATTGTGTTTTGCCAGATTATCTAAATACAGCTGGTGTTCACACCTCAGTTCCAAATTCTGCCATCTCCTTCTGACCTGCATAAAATGTTGCGTAAAAATGCTTTTAAACACTTCGTAATTGAAACACCTGCTGGTTGGGAAATAGGCTTCCTTTTCTATCTCACTTCCCAAAATATTCCTAAAATATGCACACACAAAAAAAATGTATCTCATTATACTTTAGGTGAATTCGTAGAGAGATCTGCTGAATTGTTGGTGATCTCTGAGCTTGCTTTATTTTTTGCAGACCTTTTACCAGGTTATGTAAAATTATTTGTGCTTGAGACAGTAAGTTTTGCTGTCCGGTAATATATTTTTTTCTTTGTTTCCATCCAAGTTTATTTTACATCTGTTTTTCTTTTGTGGGGAGTTTTTTTGTGTTGCTTACTTTTTAAATGTTTCTAACAATTTGCAAATGGCTGGTTGTTCGGCAGCATATGCGTTTAATAAATTATTATTATTATTATTATTATTATTCTTATTATTATTATTATTATTATTGGTATTATTATTGGTATTATTATTATTATTACCATTCACTGATGAAGTTGTGCCTGATATTAGCCTGAGTCAGACATTATAGTACAGAAGTATTTATTAATTTTCTGCAGTGATTTCAATATTATATAACTCTCTTCTGGTATTAATATGAAATTAGATTTGTTTTCAGTTATTTATATTTATTTATTGGAAGACTGCATCTTGCTCACAGAGAGACTCTGGACAGTGTACAATTAAAAGACTTATTAATAGTTTAGTGCTGGATTTTATCCCTAAAATAGTTTTTAATATGGTTATTCAATCAGGCATAGTCAAAACACAAATGTAGTAACTTGGTCCATTTCAAATAAGCAGAACTAAAATTTTCCCCGCTTGTGCTTAAGTTACAACTGCAGTAAAGGAAGACTAAGCATACATGGGGAATTAGGCAATTTTTTTTTGCAGTGGTTACCACTGCTTTATTGAATGTGGCCTTTTTTTTTTTTTTACTTGTAAAATTATTGTGGTTTTGAGAATGGAACAAACATTTACACTGTGTGGTTTATATAAACCGTTATCTGGATAGCGTTCACTTCTTAATATCATAATATGCCATAGTGAAGGAGCACCCGGAGGCTCCAACTGGTGCAGAATGTGGCCGTGCGGGGGATTAAGGGAGCGATGGGGCGCTCCCATATGACACCCCTCCTGCGCGAGCTGCATTGGCTTCCGGTGGTCTTCCGGGTGCGCTTCAAGGTGTTGGTTACTACCTTTAAGGCGCTCCATGGCATAGAGCCTGGGTACTTATGGGACTGCCTTCTGCCGCCGATAGCCTCCCATCGGCCAGTTCGCTCCCACAGAGAGGGACTCCTCAGGGTGCCGTCAGCCAGGCAATGTTGGCTGGCGACCCCCAGGGGGAGGGCCTTCTCTGTGGCAGCACCTGCCCTCTGGAACGACCTGCCCCCAGAGATACGTAGGATACCAGATCTCCATGCTTTTCGCCGTGCCGTCAAAACTTTTCTATTTCATCAAGCAGGGCTGGCGTGAACCCCCCCCCCTTAGATATTTTTTAATTGTAAATGGATTTTAGTCGGGAGGTTTTAAATTTTGGGCCAAAATTTGTTTAATTCTTTTCAAATTTAAAATTTTGTATTGGGATGTTTTTTTACTCTTGGCTGGGCACCGCCCTGAGTCCAGCAGGAGAAGGGCGGTATAAAAATTTAATAAAATAAAATAAATAAATAATAAATATAGCAGTGTCCGGTCCAAGTGCCCAAAGTGCATGCAAGCCCCCAAAATGCAACACATGCGCGCCTCCCTGCGCATGCACCCTGCGCATGCGTGCAGTCCCTGTGCATGTGGCTGGCTCCCCACGCATGCATGCACAGCCGCTCGCATGTACCTCATCCCCCCCCGCAAGCATGTGTGGGCCCCCCCGCATGCGCCCCGATACCTGCTTCGCCTCGCGGCACCATCAACCCCATCCAGGAAGACCCGCATGGCTGCCGTCCCACTTCTGCTTGCTCGCGCCCCTTTTGTCATGTGAACCCCTTTTGTGACCTTTTGACAAGCAAAGTCAATGGAGAAGCCAGGGTTCACTTAACAACCAGGTTACTACCTTATCAACTGCAGTGATTCACTTAACAACTGTGGCAAGAAATGTTGTAAGATAGGGCAAAACTCACTTAACAAATGTCTCACTTAATAACATAAATTTTGGGCTGAATTGTGGCCGTAAGTCGAGGACTACCTGTATTCCAAAGATGCTAGATGGCATAACATTCTAATGAATGGCCTTTTCTAGCCTAGATAACAGGTATGCATTAATGTGTTTCCATAATGTATCTCCAATGTGTAAAGTGTGAACAAAACTCACGCTTACCATACACCATGGATGATTTAGGCCATATGCTGTTTATGCTATTAACATTTATTTATTTATCGGCAGAAGTTTGCTAAAGTGAGAGCAGGCCGAAAATAGTTACAAGTGCTTAGAATGTATTTATTACTACCATTAACCAGAAATCTGCACATTAACAAAACGGACACATTTTCGGTTTCTTATAAAATAAAATGCAAACGTTAAAGTTTTCTTTTTTTTTTTTAAATTTAAACCTTAAAATGTAACTGGATAATTGAGGCAATCAAGACACGTTTTACAAAAAGTATAGAAAAACTCTGTGCTGTTATCAAGAAAATGGAATTATGCTGTTTGCAATTGTACATAAAATAAATGAGAATTATGTGGGTACTTCAATAAATAGGAAGTTATGAGGCAGGCCTTTATAAATGACACAGTATAACAGCATAGGCTGTGTATTCAATAGAGCCTTCTCCACAAGGACACAGTGTCTAGGGAACTTTTTTATACTTACCCTTAAGAACAGTGTTGTGAAGATCTTTTATCAGCAGTCCCCAACCTTTCTGCGGACTGGCAGTGATGGGGGTGGGTGGCAGTGGCAGGGGGTGGGAAGAAGGACATGGTTTTGCATGCACAACCTAATCTCGTGCATGCACAAATGAAGCTTCGGGTATTTGCCTGCTGCTTATGTGACCCAGTACCTGTCCACGGACCAATTGTTCTGGAGTTTTGTCCTATATGTTGGAATCTTATGTGACACTGACAATCTATAGCCACATCAGGGGTGAAATGCTCCTGGTTCGGACCGGCTCGGGCGAATAGGTAGCGATGGCGGTGGGCAGTTCGGAGAACCGGTAGCAAAAATTCCTGCCCTTGCCCCCCATGCCCAGCTAAGCCGGGCGATCATCAGAGGCTTTTTTTCTTTTAAATGCCTCTGACAAGCCAAACTCTGACAATCCAAGCTCTAATGATCCCAGCTGAGTTGCCTGCCGATCAGGCAACTCAGCTTGGATCGTCAGAGCCATTTAAAAGAAAAAAAGTTTTTTCTTTTAAATGGCTCTGACGATCCCAGCTGAGTTGCCTGATCTGCAGAGGGTTTTTTAAAAACCCTCTGACGATCAGGCAACTCAGCTGGGATCTCAGAGCCTTTTGAAAGCATTTTTTTACATGGTTTTACATGTAAACAATGGTTTTAAAAGTAAAAAAAAAAAAAATTGGCCACGCCCACCTAGTCACATTACCCCTCCCACTAAGCCACACCTACAGAACCGGTAATAACCAATTTTAGATTTCACCACTGAGCCACATGCGATCACAATATCCAGTCTCTGCTTAAGTGTGTGTCTTGTCTGGAAAACTAACTTTCTGTTTATTTCTTCTGCAGATTTTCAATGGGTTCAGGGAGACGTTTGTGAAGTTCAGCTGATGGTGTACAATCCGATGCCCTTTGAACTCCGGGTAGAAAATATGGTACGGTTTGCATCCTGTTTCACCATAAAGCCTAATTTGGGTTTAGCTATATGGGTAGCATTGGAGTCAATGTTAGTGATAGCTACAGTTAAGGTGAAATGGGACAGTTCATGGAAGGGATTAAAAAGGCTGAGGAATCTAAAGAAGGAATCCTTTATGTTGTGTCCGAACATCTCTGGAGCAGCAGCATGGGTTAGGTGTGCATTGGGCTAGAAGTTAATCTATCAACCATCCCAATGTGAAAGCCTCCCATTGGAGCCCCAAGCCAGTTGGTAGAGCCAGGTCTTTAGGCTCTTACGGAAGGTCAGGAGGGTGGAAGCTGACGTCACTCGGGGTGAGTTGGGGTTGGGTGGCGCAAGATGTTCCAGAGGGCAGGCGTAACAGCAGAGAAAGCTCTTCTCCTGGACCCCACCAGCTGGAATACCCTGGCAGATGAGGCCCATAGCGTGCCTTGAATACAAACTCTACTCGTATTTTTAAAGTTTTAATAGATGAGAATAGTGCGAGCTGCACTGGCTCCCGGTGGTCTTCCGGGTGCGCTTCAAGGTGTTGGTTACCACCTTTAAAGCGCTCCATGGCATAGGGCCTAGCTATCTTCGAGACCGCCTGCTGCTACCGACAACCTCCCATCAACCTGTGCGCTCCCACAGAGAGGGCCTCCTCAGGGTGCCATCAGCCAAACAATGTAGGCTGGTGACCCCCAGGGGGAGGGCCTTCTCTGTGGGGGCACCTACCCTCTGGAATCAGCTGCCCCCAGAGATAGGGAGAATCCAAGACCTCAGTGCCTTCCGCCGTGCCCTTAAAACCCACTTTTTCCAGCAAGCCGGGCTGGCTTAGGAAGAAATTTTTTAAAATTTTTAAATGTTTAATTGGTTTGTGGTTTTTTAAATTTTGGGCCAAATTTATATAGATTTTAATTGTTTTTAATATTTGTATTTCATGTTTTTAATTCTGGCTGTGCACCGCCCTGAGTCCTCAGGGAGAAGGGCGGTATATAAATTGAAAAATAAAATAAAAAAATAAAATAAATAAAAGAATATATGAAGCTCAGGGTTGAAGACCTTGGTACTCTCTAGCTTGGTTGTCTGCTTCCAGATGTTTCATTCCCTCACTAGGTAACATCATCAGTACTAGTTTGTGTGGAGTGGAGTTTGTTCCCTGTTCACATATAGGTTTGTCCTGCCAGTTTTGGTGGGAATGTTTTGTTTTTTTTTCCTTTGGAGTTCTTTCATTAAGGTTTTGTTTTCTGCTTGACTGTCAGTCTGATGTTAATTTTTACTTATTTTTACTTTACTCTGAGTGTTGGTTGCTGTATTCTGGTCTTTTTTCTGCAATCTTTTGACATATGGCAGTGCTATTTTTTTAATAGCATATGTTATTTGGACTGTAGTGGTCAGGCACAAGTACAAGTTTTGTGAGTACTGTATCCATTTTGTTGGAAGATGTTGTATAGACTGTCTATTTCTGGTTTTGGTGACAACTCACCATGGCCAACTCGCCGCGGCCAACTCACCACGGCCAACTCATCATGACCAATTTGCTATGGCCAACTTGGTATGGCCAATGCACTGCAGAACAATTCGCTGTGGGACAAGAGTTACACTAACATCAATGAAATGGTGGAATGGAATCATTAAAGAAAGGATGGAAAAGGAGGGGCAGAATGAAATGTGAATGGCAAAAATTAAAATAATGTTTATTTATTTTAAATAATTAAATGGAATTGTTAAATTGTCCTGCAACGAGTTGTCTTGCAGCGAATTGGCCGTGGTGAGTTGTCCCGCGGCAACATGGCCATGTTGAGTTGGCCGCAGAGAGTTTGCCGCAGCGAATTGGCTGTGGCAAGTTGTCGCACTCCCACTGCAGTGTGTGCTCATCTATAGTAAGCTATGTTCTTCCACAGCTGCTCTCGTGGGAGGTCAGGTTGGTACTTTGGTAGTAACATTGGTTAATATGTTTTCAAATCTAGGTAGATCAAGATCCAGTGTGTTCTGTTTGCAAATTGTAGAAATGTTCCTCTATTATAGGAACATTATCCTCTATTGTAGTTGCAATTTTTATTTACGTTTGAATTAAATGTACAACTCAGTAATTAACAGAGATAAACCTAAAGTCTAATATTATGTGGTAAGGAGGCAAAGGGATCTTTGTTATGTATATTGCCATAAACATTGTCATCTTTCTGCTTTACTTTGTCATTTTTGTATATTTTTAATAAAATGTACAGTTTCATCAGCGTTATAAAAATGATATATATGAATGTATTATGGAGAAAAGTTTTAACATTAATATGAATTATCCTTTTTCCCACACGTCAGAAAGTGGGGGAAAAAATCCAATAAAATTCCACTAAAGAAAGATGCTGAAGATAAAACTTTTTCTATGGCAAATGACATTGATGATTGTATTTGTGATGTTTATATTGCTTTCCTGAAAGTTGGCATAATCATTTGTCAAATATATGTTTTGTGCTGTAGGTATAAAATATATTTCTCAAAGTTTTCGGTGAATAAGTAATGTGGTTCAGACTACTGTTACTGAAATTCCTGGCATGTATTAATAGTTGCGTTTAAAAGGAACCACATATTTTTAACCTGTTTAAATCAACACTGATTTAAACTGTTCTGGCCCCTCCTGGATAGATAAGGCTCCCTGGGAGAGGACTAAGGAATGGATCCAACTGTTCATGACCTTCATGCTTCCCAAGAGCATAAAGCAGACTCTTTGTCCCGACAAAAACCTCTTTTTATTAATTTCCTGTGAATTCTTCTCGTTCACATCCAGCAAAATCTTTCAAGGGAGAATTTACAGTCACAAACCTTATCTGGCTTGGGGAGCTGCCAAGCCGATATCTTCAAAACTTGGCAAGGAGTCACGAACCAATTCAGTGAACTAATTGTCTCCTGCAAACTCCACTCCCCTTTCGCTCCTCTTTTATTCCCTCTGGGAGGGGCCATTCATTATCCACCTGTGGCCTTACTCCCAAGTTGACCCTTGTTCTTTAGCTGTTCCCTGCATCTGGCAACTCTGCACATGCACACACTGGGAACAGGCTCCAGCTGTTCGTCTGCCTCACTGATGTCTGACTCAGAAGGCAACTGATAACTGGCATACGACCCTGGCCCCCTGTCTGCCTCCGATGCAGAGCCCTCATCAGAGCCTTCCCCAGACTCCTGGACTGGCCCATTTTCCTCCCCAACCTCCTCACTCAACCCCAAATCTGCTGTCAGCTCTGCTGACCCCTGGAGAGCCACAACACCAACTGATGGTGTCTTCCTCTTTGAGGAGTGGGGGGGGGGTTTCCTCTCCAGTCTGGAAGGAGATGGTGGTACTTCCCCTCCTGAAGAAGCGATTGTTGAATCCTTTCATTTGGACAGTTATCAGCCAGTTTCCAGTCTTCCCTTTATTGTCAAGATTGTAGAGAAGGTGGATAGATCACAGTTGGAGGAAATGATAACAATACAGAATAACAGAGTTGGGAGAGATTTTGGAGGTCTTCTAGTCCAACCCTCTGCTCCGGCAGGAATACCATTTCAGACAAATGGCTGTCCAATCTCTTCTTAAAAACCTCCAGTGAAGGAGCACCCACAACTTCTAGAGGCAAGTTGTTCCACTGATGAATTGTTCTCGCTATCGGGAAATTTCTGCTTAATTCTAGGTTGCTTCTCTCCTTGGTTAGTTTCCATCCATTGCTTCTTGTCGTGACTTCAGCTGCTTTGGCGAACAGGTTGACCCCCTCTTCTTTATGACAGACTCTTGTCCAATTTCAGCCTACCTTCAGAAAGAAGGTATAGGTATAAATACAAAGACAGAATTGGTCACTCTTGCTGGTTACCTGTGGCAGAGCCAGGATGGGGGTGGTGCATTCATCCATATATTTATCCCAAAGGTGCTTTTTTCAAGAGGCAACTGGACTTTGTTTTTTTTTTTCATTGAAGACATTTCGCTTCCCATTCAAGAAGCTTCTTCAGAGCTGAAGAAGCTTCTTGGATGAGAAGCGAAACGTCTTCAAAGAAAAACCAGAAAGTCCAGTTGCCTCTTGAAAAAAGCACTTTGGGACAACCATGTCCTGGATGACTGAGAAACTCCATAGACATCCATGTACTTTTGATACCATCAGCCACAGTATTCTTCAGAACTGACTGGGATTTGTAGTGGGAGGCACTATGCTGCATTTGTATTTTCAGAACGTCTTTACATTGGAAAGTGGCTTCTATTTTGCACACCCAACTGATAAGTTTAAAAACACAGATGGTGGGTGGATGCACAATTATCCTCAGAACCAAGATGTACAAGAATGAATGCTGGTTGTTAAGAGGTTACAGTTGCACCCATGTATGGCCTAGAAAATACACTGTTTGAATCATTGAGATTAAGTAGAAAAGGGTTCATAACCAAATTTGGTGACTTTGCTGCTTGATGAGAGGGTATTTGTTATAAAAGGGAAAGCTTTTATGGTGATTGTTATAATACCTTCTCACTGAGATAATTCCTCTCACCTTTCCAAATAGGATGAGGCATAAAACCATAGAATTGTGGTTTGATATGATCATTTAATCCAGACCTTGCAATGTGCAGGAAAACCAAAGCACCCTTAAAAAATGATTGCCCAACTTCTTCTCAAAAACCTTGAGATAGAAAATCCACAGTCTTCCTAGACAGATGTTCCATAGCTGTACCTATTTATTGTTAGGTAGTTTTTTATCCTTTTTCGGCTGGGTAACAATTAGAATAACACCTGTTTCACTTTCTACTAAGATTTTTATTTTGAAAATGTATATGGAACACATAGACACATCTACATATACATAGCATTGATATCACATTTATATTTGAAGAAAATCTTAACTTTTTTTGTTATGCCTTGCAATAAAGTTTTGCTGTCACAGTTACTAGTTCAGCAGATCAGCAGATCAAATCTCACCGGCTCAAGGTTGACTCAGCCTTCCATCCTTCCGAGGTGGGTAAAATGAGGACCCAGATTGTTGGGGGCAATATACTATTTAGCATACTGTCAATTGTTGTAAGCCGTCCAGAGTCCTCGGAGAGTGGGCGGCATAGAAATATGAATAATAATAATAATAATAATAATAATAATAATAATAATAATGATGATGATGATGATGATGATGATGATGATGATGATGATAGAATTAGCACATCAACAGTATGAATTGTATAAACTAATAGGATATTAAAAAAGGATTTTAATAGGATATTAAAAAGGGATTTTTAAAGATGAAACTGACAACGCAAATGGCAACACTTCAGGTTCTTCTCATAATCATTCCCTTCAGCCAGTTGCTCTACAGGTAATGTAAATTACCTGTACAGGTAAATTAGGAAAGTTTTCCGCAGAATGAATAGTGTATATGAATGGCTTTCTACAAATGTGCTCAGCAAGATAACATACAATAATATACATCTAATAAGCCCTCAAAATGCAACTGTCAGAAGGAAATTAGGAAGAGTGATTACAACTCCTAATAGTATAACTACTCAAATATTTTTAAAGGATAATTTTATTAGCATAAGGGCATAATATAAAGTCTTCCCTTCGGTATGCTTTTTGCTTAACAGAATTAAATTGAATTTGCTTTTTACATTCCCAGGGACTACTGACGAGCGGCGTTGAGTTTGAATCCCTCCCTGCAGCTCTCTCGTTACCTGCAGAATCTGGTCTCTATCCTGTGACACTTGTTGGTGTTCCTCAGTCCCCAGGCCAGATCAACGTTAATGGTAAAGATTGCTAACAGGCTTTTCTCTACATTGAGAAGTGTAAGCTGCTGCAAACCGTTTCAGATTGTGTTGATTTTTTTTTTTAATGAGGCCAGAATTGTTCTTCTCCAAGTTGATAGGATTACTACATCCTAAATAGGAATGAAAAGGATGACGTTTTCATCGCCACGTTTCAAGAAAATCATTTAGGAAGCTAATAACCCAAAGAATCTGTTACAAGATGTCCTTGGGACCAGAATTTCCATTGCTAAACAAGGCAGGTGTCGAATTGAGTTGCGCCTGACTTTGTGACCTTTTTGCTGTAATTGTTAAATGCTTCACTGCAGTTGTTAACTGAATTGTGCAGTCCTTATATGAATCCGTCTTCCCCCATTGACTTTGGGAAGCTGGCTCAGAAAGGTGCAAACATGGTGATCTCATGATCACTTGGATGCTGCAGTCATCCTAAATACATGCCAGTTGCTAAGGGCCTGATTTTGAGCATGTGCCTGTGAGGATGCTGTGACGATTGGTGCAGTACCCAAAAGTGTAACTCACTTTTTTCAGTACTGTTGTAACTTCGAACAGGGTCTTAAAGTATGGTTGTAAATTGAGGTCTACCTATATTAAAGTCCTCTGCAAATGTGATGACCAAAACTGTAATCTTGACTGTAGATCAGAGTTCTACAACCTTTTCGGCTTTGTGAATTGATGGTGGGGGGTGGAGGGGGAGAGGGATTGGTTCTGCATGAGCGGTGGGCAAGCATGCGTGTGCATGCATTCCATTTGCGTGAGCAGCGGGCAAATGTGCCTGCCGCTCGCACAAATGGAGCACACATGCTCCCCCACTGTTCGTGCAAGTGGGGATGCGTGCACATGCTCGCCCGCCACTTCCGTGGCCCAGTTCCGAACGGCTCAAGGCCCGGAGGTGGGCCGCAGCCAAGGGGTTGGGGGACCCCTGCTATAGATTATGATGAAATGGAGAAAATATTGTGACCTGATTTATGACTGCCAGACTGATGTGTGATTTGAAATTTAGCTATCAGTTAGCTTTTGTAATGTAGTTATTTTTGTTGTTGTGTTTGAAACGTAATTATTTCAGTAAATTGTAAATGGCAGATTAACGAAGAGTGAAAAGAAACAGCAGAAGGACTGTGCCATAATAATCTGCCTGTGCTAGTTTCTAAGCCTTGCTTTTTATTTTATCTTGTATGTTAGGAATAGATTTCTAGAGCCTTAAAAAAGATGAGCAAACTGCAGAATACATATTTTTTGCAGCCCCATTTGTTATTAATCCCATACCCACAAATTCAGGGTGCTGAGACTCTATGGCACTACTCACCAAATTTAGTATTTTTTTGTTGTCAAAATAAGCAAACAGTATGAATACTTGTTTCTCTGTGGTAAATTTACCTCAAGTGATAGCCCACAAATTTTGCCTTTGTCACTTTCAGTAATACCACTATTGTGTCCCTTCCCCAGGATGTGATAGCTGGATAAATTAGACCAAATTCAGTCTATCTTGCTGACTGTGTGTCAACTATAATAATATTAATTAGTTGTTGGCCATGAAAAAGTTCTTAAATCTGCCTTAAAAGGAAAAAAAATGATCTGAGCCACATTTATTAGTGATTTCACCAAGCTATTATATTGACTTGAGAATGAAAATGATTCTCAATTAAATCGTCTTAATCTCTCTGCATTTAGCCAATAAAATAGCATGTTTTAATATCAAAATTCTAGCTGAGGTTTGAGGTTCCTTAGCCTAGTAATGGTTCTCCTAGTAATGTTTTTTTAACTGTGCAGTATCCAAACTAGAAATACGTCCAACTGGCACTTAGTCCCTTCGGTCTTCAGTACATTTTCCACAAATTAAATAAATCTGGTTCTTAACAGCTGTAGTAGATTTTCCATTTGTGCTGGATGATTGATTATTTCTGCTCAATCTCTGACTGATTTCTCATGGTGACAGGCTATCGTACCTCAGTCTTCGGAGTCTTCAGTGATTGCCTTTTGGATAAACTGCCAGGAATAAAGACTAGTGGTTGTACAGTGGAAGTCATTCCATCTTTACCTAGGTTGCAAATCAGTACTTCATTACCCAGGTAAGAATTCTGATGTTTTGGCAAATTTTGAGTACGTTTCTCAATATCTGAAGAACTATAGACTAGTAATATGTGCCTACTAATTGAATGTATTGAATGTAAGGTCTGCTGGCTGCCAGGAGGAAAAAAAAAAGCCCAGAAACTAGTGAATTGTAATTTCACTGAACTAGGGCTGCATAATATCTTGGTTTACGTAGGTAGAACCTGGCTAAAGAGAAATATATATATATTTCTAAAAGAAAAACACACATAAAACCTACGAAAAGTAAGAATCTATCTATCTATCTATCTATCTATCTATCTATCTATCTATCTATCTATCTATCTCTATCTATCTATCTATCTATCTATCTATCTATTTTCTTACCTGGCTAGAGAAAAACATTTTATATATATATATATAATATATATATATATATATATATATATATATATATATATATATATAGTGTGTGTGTGTGTGTGTGTGTGTGTGTGTGTGTGTGTGTGTGTGTGTGTTGTGTGTGTGTGTGTGTGTGTTTTCTGAGGTTTTCGCGTGTGTTTGTATGTAGGTCTTTGGTTATTCGGGTTTTCTCCCGCGTAAAATTGGAAGTGTCTTGGCGACGTTTCGACAAAGTCTCATTCGTCATCTTCAGGCTGGTGTTTTCGGCTTCGTGCTTCTAGGCCTTTTAACTGCCAGTTAAAAGGAAGAAACAGCTGCGATCACACATTGCTCCTAGAAGCACGAAGCCGAAAACACCAGCCTGAAGATGACGAATGAGACTTCGTCGAAACATCGCCAAGACATAAACCACTGTTTGAAAAACCTCTGTGTACTGTATTTTGCTCCTGGGTTATCTCAAACTAGCTGTGTGCACTCTGACATGTTTAAAACAAAAACTTTTTTCCTTTTTAAAAAATAAATCAGAATAATTATAAATGCTGCTTCTTCTTAATATTAAAAAACAGGTTCATTGAAATAGCACCTTTTTATTTTTCTTCAACTTCTGTTCCTGCACTTTTCCTGCAATTATAGAAAAAAGGGAACAAAAATATCTTAACCCGTCACCTAAATGTTAAGAGTTGATAGAGAGTGAAAGTGCCCGAGGGTGAACTTATTTTCTCTCAAACCAGATTTTAAATAATGAAATTGTATTTGCCCCAGTGCTGTATTATAAATCATTTTAAAATGGATGAGTCTTTCAAATGCAATATAGTTGAGTCCTGCTACTTTGAGATAAAAAAAAAAAGTTATTTATAAGTGGAACCTTTAGTGATTGCAATGAGAAAATTATCTTGACTGTATGGTTCATGCATGGATTTATGCTCTTACAGTGAGATTTCTCTTGCTTACCTCTGCAGCCTCCAGCTTTGCTCTGGGGGAGCCCTACAAATTTTGGAAACACGTTTTGGGGCAATTTTCTCTACTTGTTTTTTTTTAATTATTATTATTAATATTAATATTCGTCCTGAATTGAATGTTCAGCATGGTTTTCTTTTAAAACTTGCTTGAAACTGTATTTAGAAAGGGATTCTAAATGACTGGTCAAAGTCATGGCTAAGAGATTGCACTTTGTAAAGGAGAACAGTGTGTTGATGCTTATGTGTACGAGTCTGTGTGTTTGCGTGTGTATATATATGCAGGTAATCCTCAATTTAACAAAACAGTTCATTTAGTGACCATTCAAAGTTACAACGGCACTGGAAAAAAGTGAGTTATTAAGTTAGCAACCGCAAAAACTGTGGCCAAAAAGTCATAAAATGGGACAAAACTCACTGAACAAATTTCTCACTTAGCAACATAAATTCTGGGTTCAGTTGTGATCATAAGTTGAAGACTACCTGTATATGTATATATGTATATATGCATGTATGTGTTTTTGAGTATGTACATGTATGTGTGTGTGTATGAGAAATATATTGTATGAGAAATAATAATATATAATATATTTTCTATACTGTTACCTCAGTGAGCTGTTTCATTACAGGAGCTCATATGTGTTTTTGACTTTTTTGTTAATTTATTTTGGAGGGTTAAAATGCTTGTTTCTCTGTACTAAATTTACCTCAGAAGGATAAGCAATGCCTTGATTTTATCCCAATTAGTTTTGAGTGTTAACACTTTTGTCAGTTCTCAGGGGCAGAAGTTAACTTTAATTGCATCTTTCTTTATCACGGTTCAAAATGAAGTTTCACTTAGTTTGCACTTTAGATTCCAAAATAAAATTCCCTACCCACAGTTGTAGCTCTTGTGGTCCCCATCTTCAGGTATGGTAGGTGAAGAACAGTAATAGTAGTGCCGAACTGATTATGGGTAAACGTTTCTTCTGCCATTAGAGTGATAGTTTTTGGCTTGATCTTTTTTCCTCCATCACCCCCATGTTATTAATAATGTTCACAAAGTTAGGTGATACTGTTTATTAATACTTTAAAAACATCTAGCAATATCTGAGAGATCCAGCTTGGTGTAGTGATGAAGGCATTCAGACTAGAAACAGGGAGACCGTGAGTTCTAGTCCCACCTTGGGCACGATGCCTGCTGGATGACTTGGGCTAGTCACACTTTCTCACCCCTAGGAAGCAGACAATGGCAAATCATTTCTGAAAAAGCTTGCTAAGGATACTGTAGGGACTTGTCCAGTCTCAGGGAATTGGACACAATTGAATGGAAAGAAAAGCTATCTGTGAATGTATTGTAAATAATATATGGATTCATTTTCTAATCATGCATTCATTACAGAGGCGGGTTTCAGCAGGTTCTGGAGAACCAGTAGCAGAAATTTTGAGTAGTTCGGAGAACCGGTAGTAAAAATTCTGACTGGCCCTGCCCCTATCTATTCTCTGCCTCCTAAGTCCCAACTGATTGGGAGGAAATGGGGATTTTGCAGTAACCTTCCCCTGGATTGGGGAGGGAATGGAGATTTTACAGAATCCTTCCCCTGGAGTGGGGTGGGAATGGAGATTTTACAGTATACTTCCCCTGCCATGCCCACCAAGCCATGCCCATCAAGCCACACCCACAGAACCGGTAGTAAAAAATTTTGAAACCCACCACTGATTCATTACCCACTGGTATCTCTCCTACCATTTTTGAAGGTCTGCTCGTACACTTCAGCCTTCTTCGGGGGATGAAATTACCACCAGCGTGTCTGTCCAGCTGTACAACGGAGAGACTCAGCCACTCATCATTAAACTTGAAAATATTGGAACAGAACCTCTGGAGAAGCTGGAGGTTACATCCAAAATGGTCAACGTAAAAGGTTAATATTCTTATTTTTCCCAATTGCTATTAAATCACTTCTGCTCCCCACCCCTCGCCCCCAATCTGCTGGAATGTTCTTTCTGTTTCTATTCTTTTTTGTTCTTTCCGTTTTCTTTTTCTAATTGGAATTGCATTTCCTATACACTCTGTCGCTTTCCTAGAATCAGTTGAAGACCATATCCCTTTAACTTCTCCATGTCTGCGTTTTGTTTATTGTATTTATTTCGAGATTTCGAAGAGGAAAACAAGAAAAAGAATAGTTTTTGGCCTCCGCACGTCCAGTTTTTGCCCTCCCCGGCCCCCAGGAGCACTCTGGAGGCTTCCCAAACCCTCTGCACATCCCATTTTTGGCAAAAGCAGGACATGTGGGGTGGGGTTTCAGGAGGCCAAAAATGGACGTATTCAGTCTATAAGATGCACTGACATTTCAACCCTCTTTTAGTGGGGGAAAGTGTGTTTTATACTCCAAAAAGTATGGTACATTTTATCATGGCCCCATGTACTTCCATCATTCCCCTTGGAGGGGAGGGATTCCTCTATTTTGCAAACAATGTATATATTGTGTGGGGTTTTCAGTTACAATAACCATCATGATGTAGTACATGATTGGTTTTATTCTTATTCCAGATGTTCATAGTCAGATCTTATTACATGGGATTCAAACCCGTTAAGTTCTATCTCTCTTGAGCTTAAAGAAAAGGTATACCATATAAGATATATAAGACTATGAGATACAGGCGTTACATTATGCCATGTAGACTATAGGTGGACTGTAGATTCCGTTCTGTATATATTTCTTCCTGAAGAGCACTTTGCTGCTGAACAGCAGAAGCTGGTTGGTTTCTAAAATAATTTATATGTTTTATTTACTTAATAAATGTATATGCTATTCATCTCTCACGCTTCGCAGTGTGCCGTATGTAGTCATGTAAAGATTATCCATGAGTGCCAGTTCCCTGTAATTGGCTTGAACCTCACAGAATAAGATTTGGCTATGTACATTCTATGATTCCTATAAGGATAAAGCAGATTACTTTATGTCTTTTAAATCACCACAGTTTGAATCCAGTACTCCTTTCCTCATCTTTCCCACAGATTAACAGACATCTTCCTTTGTGAATAGAATAGAATAGAATAGAATAGAATAGAATAGAATAGAATAGAATAGAATAGAATAGAAATATTCTTTATTGGCCAAGTGTGATTAGACACACAAGGAATTTGTCTCCGGTACAGAAGCTCTCAGTGTACATACAAGTGATAAATCATAATCATAATCATAAAATACAATCATCATAAATCCTATGATACAACATCCAGTGATAGTCACAAGATACTAAATAAGCAATCAACATAAATCGTAAATGGATACTAATGAAAGCAATCAACGTGAACCAAAAGATACAAACAACAAAGTTATAGTCATAAGAAGCTAAGGAAATAGGTAATAGGAAAGATGAGAAGGATAATAGTAATCTAGCCCTACTAGATGGTTTGACATCCCAGGGCATAAGACAAGTGTTGTGGGAGTTAGTTGTTTAGCAAAGTGATGGCATGAGGGAAAAAACTGTCTTCGTGTCTGGTTGTTTTGGCGTGCAATGCCCTATAACGTCATCTTGAGGGAAGAAGTTGAAACAGTTTATGTCCAGGATATGAAGGGTCTGTAGATATTTTCACAGCCCTCTTTTTTATTTTATCATTCTTTCTTGCTAAGGAGCAGTTGGGTATTAAAATAAGTGGCACACCTGCACGGGGAAATTTTAGCTCTTAATGTAACTGTCATTCATGCAGACATAAAGACAAATTTCAATTTGAATACTACATCAGGATAGATTGAAGGCTCTTGTGCTTTACAAGCAGGGAGATTTATCTGCACTAATAAATGCCATTTTTAAAATCTCCCAATAGGCAATTTTATACATGTTTTAAATACATCGCATACTGTGAAGAATTTCCAGTTCGTTCTAGGATGGTTTTGACTAGGGCAGAGGAAACTGTTTTCCCCACTCCAAAATCATATTCTGAGTTGAAATATAGGAATCATCATTCTTATTACCTTGGGTGGAAGTAGAAGACTTAAGTTTATGAAGACTGACAATATACAACTAAAGAGCAAAAGTCAAGAACTGGCAGTTCAAATCTTCAGATAATAATATAATATAGGCTTACCATTTTAAATATGTTTTATGGAAATCTAATTCAGCATCAGATGAAGCTTAATTTTAGAGTACATTCTAAGTCAGCAATTTTTATATTCTGTTAACCTGATTAGGAGGGGAAAACCTTCCCAATTTGTTCCTGAAAATAGTGGATATATAGTATTTACCTTATTTTTGTTGCATTACAAAAATATTGAAGGATGATGAAAAACATTTAAAAATATCAACATCTCTGCAAAAGCAGGAGTATGTGTCTTTAACATTGGGTTATTTTATTGAAGGGATATCCATTAATGGTGTTTCCGTTTACATGTTTTTATTTTAGGAAAACTGTTTGGTGACTTCTTGAGTTGGAATCTAGAAGATACACTCTCCCAGTTTCCTTTAAAGCCGGGAAGTGTTGCTGTATTTACTGTGTATATTAAAGTCAAGCTTGATTTCTCCTGTCATGAAAACCTTCTGCAAGATCTGAATGATGGTGGGTTTGACGTTTTATCTAATACCAATGGCTACATTTTAATTTTGAACAGGCTTCTCTAATTTAATATATATTGTTAATATCCATTTTTATATTTTCGATGTGGTTTTTAGATTCGTTGTTTTAATAGTTTGTTGTTAATTTTGCAAATAATTCTCTTTGCAAAACTATCAAACCTTGATTGTTTTCCCAGTTCAGAAGTGATCCGCGTACAAAGCAGACAAGGTTTGTAATGCAACAGTGAACCCCGGCTTTTATCTTTCGCCCCACCCACCCTGTCCCTATGTACATTTCTGAACTGGGAAAACAATCAAGTTTTGACCATTTTCCAAATATAAAGGACTAGCAACTCAGGGCAGTGCACAACAAATGCTAAAAGCAGTGGTTCACTGTTGCGTTACAAACCTTGTCTGCTTTGTAACTGGATCATGATATTGCATGTCCATATGAGAAGGGTAAAAATTGCATTGCCGTGGTGTCATGTTGCCATTATCATTTTGATTAAGGCATCCCCTCCTACTAAAGCCTCTTTGTAATTCCTTTTAAAGATCACGGTTCATTCACACCCAGTGGAGGGTTCCATCAAGAGTACATAAACATCATAGTCCATAGTGGGAGGTAATGGACTTCTGTTCTTACTCCTCCTGTCGTGCGTGTGGAAAGCAAAAGAGAAAGAGAAAAAAACTATAAAATGATAGGATGGACTGCATTTGTCTACATATTTGCAATCAGCTTCCTTCTCTGCTTGAATTATGAACTGTTTGGTATTGTACTGTTATAAGCGCATAAATTGTGGTAACTGTGGGCTAGACGAGCCATTTTTAATTTCCCCCCAGAACTCTTTAAAACCATCCTACTCTAGAAATTCATACTACAATGCAAAGAAATGTTACTTAGGAGAACAAGGTAACAAGAAATGCCATGCGCTACATTAACTAAAATTACCATATTTGGGAGCTGAACGGTGTGAATAATTTTCATTGTCGTCTATAAAACATATATATGGCTTATTTGTTTTAAAACATACACAGTGATTTTCATTTTACTAAACACGTAAATGGAATTTACATTAAAATAATTCTAACAAGGCCAATAAAATGGTAAATATCATCATGTGTAAAATTAAGAATAATAAAATCAATGGTTACGAGGGAGGACTGCAGTTAGGCTGATAGGGAAAAAAAAATATTTTGCAAATAAAAATCTTTAACCGAAATCTCTTCTCACTGGAAAGATGATTCTACATTTTTAAAACAATGTCCTCCAAAATGCTGCCAAGTAAATAAGCAGAAGGTTTTCTCAGAATGCAAAATCTCAGAGGCTCACATAGAAGCAGAGAGCTTTTCAGCAACTTGCTCTTAAGCTGCTTCAGAACCTATGGAACAAATGTAACTCCCTGAACAGGTTGATAGATGATAATTGGCCACTAGCGTCCAACTTGGAAAGATTTGGGGAAAATACAAGAAATATTAGTCCTGCTTTTCCATCCCAGCCAATCGTTAGCTCAACCAGATCATCTTTATGAGAAAATTGCAATAGCTATTTAAAAACTCTCATCACCCAGAAGGGCCTGGTAATCCCATGAATTTAGCAGCAAAAATCTTGGCGAGGTTTCATGATTGCTATTAGCTCCTTTTCTGGAAGGCCATGGTGGCATCACTTGGCCATTAAGGGGGCTTGGCTTTTCAGTTACTCTTCAGCATTTTTTCCCATCTAGACATGCAGAGTAGAAACTGCCTGGTTTATATATATTCTCATGATAAAAATAAGTCCATATTTGTTTAACCCTCAGTCTGGTTTGGGTGAAATTCTCTGAAAGTTAGTGGATTAAGCCAATTTAACCTTTATTGATACCAGCCTAATGGAGCGATGCAAAGAAGCTGTGTAAGGGGTCTTGTCAGTTGTCCGTGCATTAGGGGAATAGGTGTCCAAACCAAAGCAGAACATTGATATGGAGTAAGAAGAAACAGGAAAATATATTTTTTTCCCCTTTCCTATAGGAGAGACACTTGGGGACTTGGTTGGAATGCTACTGCCTAGTCTCTCTCTCTCCTTCCTCTTGGTCACATGACCCAGAGCAGGACTAATATGAAGGTCTTGAAAAGAACTCCAGAAGATGTGCTCCAGAACAAGGCTTTGCCTGCCTTGTCTAGTTTTCCTGTGAAACACTCCTTCCACTATATTGATGTCAGGCCAGGGGTGGGTTCTACTTACCTTTACTACCGGTTCGCAGCGGGAGAGCGTGCACACTTCTGCGCATGCGCAGATGACCCATGATGACATTGTGGCAGGTGGTGTTGTGGCCTGTCAGCGGCCTGTGCGGATTGTAGCTGATTCTGACAGCGAGGAGGCTGGTGTGGTCTTGCGCCAGCAGCCTGTGCAGCTGGCACTCGAGTCAGACAATGAGGAGGCTGGAGAAGATGTGGTGCCAGAGGCGGGGATTCAGCCAGGGCCTTCAGAACCTCCAGAAGCTCTCATAAGTGAAGAGAACAAAGAGGAGGAGCCTCTTCTCAATGCACGGGCACACAGCTGCCAAAAGGCAGGAGTGGCTCCTCGGGGGAGGTCTCCTCGAGAGTAAGGCTTGGGGCTAATTGGCCACTCCCTTAGCCTATTTAAGGAGGAACGCCGACTGAAGCAATTTGTAGGGAACAACTTTAGTTCACTCTACTTCACGTCTGGATTCTCTGCAAATTGCTTCTGGGCTTTCTGCCAACCTTAGTAAGATTGTGACTACTTTATCTTTGGTTTCTTGTAGGCTGTTAAGAAAGTTTATTAACAGCCTTTGTTTTGAAAAAGACTGAGTTATTTTAGTAAATTTAAGTTTTGTACAAACTTTGTGTGTGCTGTGTTCTTTGGGATCCGTAGCTGGGGCCGAACAGGTGGGTGGAGCCTCCTGCCGGTTTTACCACCGGTTCTATAGAACCGGACAGAACCGGGAGCAACCCACCACTGTGCCAGACACAAGGAACAAAGTACAACACTGTGAAGTTCTCCCAGTAGTTTCTTTATTCTGGGTTGCCCATAGGCAGTAATCTTGCCAGACTAAAGCACACACTGCATATCTATCAGATATACCCTGTGCAAGGGTTAGGGTGGGTTCCTTCTGGGCTCCTTTCTAGATAGCAAAATTCAAGGCTGATCTCAGTGCAGAATAGAGCTGGAAGGGACCTGGGAGGTCTAGTCCAACCCTCTGCTCAAGCAGGAGACCCTAAACAATTTGAGACAAGGGCTGCCAGTCTCTTCTTAAAAACCTCCAGTGATGGAGAACTCAATCCTTCTGAAGGCCAGCTGTTCATTTGCCTCTTTGCTCCTTGGAAAAGACTTGTAACTCGGTGTCAGATTCCAACACATTGACCCAATGAAAGATGAGAGAGGAACAGACCTCCTGAGTTGGTTTTACATTGCTAAGTTTACTTTTACATAATAAAGCAGAGAGAAAATCATTTTTCCGCATTTTCTAGAATGTAATTGAAAAGCTGCATTGCACAGTATCTCATAAACCTGATACTTTCAATAATGCAAGAGAAATACTGTCTGCATAATTTATAAGTTTCGGTTGGTGCTCCACAAATTCTTCCAGACAAAAGTAGTATTGTCACATATTGATAAAATCTAACGACTTCATATTTTAATTAAGAGTCACAGTACTAAATACGGGGTGTTTATTTTCGACTTCCTTATAAATTATTTACTATTAAACCAGTCTTAATAAAGGTAAGTTAATTACTTTCTTCTACAATAACGGATTTTAGATTAAAAGTCATTTGCTATTTGATTGTAGAAGTTAACAAATCTCAAGGATGAAGGTGTATCGTCCTTGGAGACTGAAGTTTTAGACCCATATAATGTATTTGAAAATAACCCTTGCCCTGAAGAGAAATTAGTTCAGGCTATCTGAGATTTGCTTATGGAAGCAATGTTAATTCATTTCATTTTATTTATTTGTATCCCGCCTTCATAATTTTTACAAATAACTCTTTAAGTGGTGAACATATCCAACAAACCTTCCTTCCTCCTATTTCCCCACAACGACCCTGTGAGGTGAGTTAGGCTGAGAGAGAGTGACTAGCCCGAAGTCGCTTAGCTGTTTTTCATGGGTAAGGCGGGATTTGAATTCATAAGTTTCCCACATTCTAGCCTGGTGTTAAATCACTAGATTAAACTGATATTCTATCCCTATTTAGAGCAGAAAAGGACTGGGCTAGTCTTTGATCTTGCTTTCTGAGCCATGAAATCAATCATTTTCTCTCTCTCTCTTTCTTTCTCTCTCTCTCTCTCTCCTCCCCCCTCCTTCCCTTTCCCATTCCCTTTCCCTTTCCCTCCTTCCTCTTTCTCTCTCTCTCTCTTTCTCTTTCTCTCTCTCTCCCTCTCACACACAGCGGGAGAAAATAATGGCAGATTAGTCCTTCATATGACTTGTGTTCTTATATACTACAGATAAGCAAATTGGAGAAGGTGCACAAGGAACTGGAAAGCACCTTCCTATCCCAGTTACTCTAGGATTGGAAAATGAACTCTTTGGCTTCTGTTTGTTGTGCTTATTTTTCTCGTTCTCGGTGAACAATCAATTCATTTCTGGGTTAGAGTCAGGACTGTTCGCCTGCACTTCAGAAGCAGTCAGTTAACTCCTTTTTCTAAGAAGTGCAAAGGAATCTAACAAAGTTCTCGGTGCTGATTTATTTATCCTAATTGGGTTTGTAGACTACTCGAATTGCAAATGGATACTAGTGCCACGCATCCCAATTTACATCAGTCATGTTAAAACGTAACATGCAAAATAAATATCAAAAGCAATCAATATCAGATATAGCAACTAATATAACAGCTAGTTGATATTTATTTAAATTGGATCAAAGCTAAAGGTTGAAATCCATTTTTCGCCTTTGAAATAACAGATTAATAAACTGTGGTCACTTTTTTTCCCTTTTGGAGAAAAGCTGCTCGTTTAAAAGTCAATTATTTTGATGGCATAGCAATAAATACCTGTTAGGATATGAATTTTAAAAGGCAGGCTTTTAGTCACTTCTATAATATAGAATGGCAAATATAAAGTATTATGCAAATCACTTGTAAAAGATTCTTGGTATAATATAATGTCACATTTATGTTTAAGTCTGGTTATTAATATTACGCTATTTGACAAAAATTAATGCTGGGGATAATTCATACTAATAAATACCCATTCAACATTTATTGAATATTGCATTATTTGGTCACATGTAGACTTAGCATTTATATTACTTAAAAAAATATCGATTTCTTCCCCCTCAATTTTTTTTAATACTGCTTTAGAATAAAGTATTGCCAAAGCATATTATTCCAATTATGAAAAAGCTTTGGACTTCTGTGCTTTTTGTCTTCACATGGTCAAATTATCTAGCATGTTTAGTTCTAAATTAGCTACAATTTCCAATCACATTGCAGAACAAAAGATCAAGTTTTGATTTAGTAGCAGTTTGCAATTCTTCCAGCACTTCTCTTGGGTTTATTCCTCCATTCTTTTCAAACTTCAGTTCATCTTCTCTTCTACACATTATTTCATTTTTCATTTTTTCATTTTATTTGATTTATATACCGCCCTACTCCCGAAGGACTCAGGGCGGTGAACAGGCATAAGATAAAACACATAGAATACAAAAATTTAAGAGCAGAAGTAAAATCGAATTAAATCAATTTAGCCCAAGACAAATTTAAAACCCCAGGTTAAGAACAATCCAGAAATTGTAAAACATTCAAATTTATTTGAATCGGACTCCATCTTATCGGTTCTGTTCGTGAACCATATAGAACCAAAATTATTCAACTAGATTTTAGCCTTATATGTGATATTTGTTGACTATAGTTCAGTTTAACGTGTGAACAACGAAAGTTGAGCTTAGTAAACTATGGGAAAACATACCAGGCAAATACAATCTTTAGATAAGAATCTGGAAAGTATCCCAGAAAATAAAATATAGTAATTTTGACTTTTTCCCCATTTTGTAGATGGAATTAGTGTGAGTGGTTTTCCACTTTCCAGTCCGTTTCGACAAGTGATAAAACCACGTATAGAAAATAAGCCTATGAATCCACAGGAAGCCACTAAAGTTGGTGACTTTAGCCACATAAAGGTAGGTGATCAGCCTGGCAATAATTGATTGTGTAACTGATATTAAATCAGGAATGGAGAATAAATTTTCCCAAGGGACCACATGAGAAACTAGGGTTGTTGTGAAGAATTGCCACTGCCCCACTCCTGGCCTCCCACCTCCTCCTATGCCCCCTACCCTTCTGCGGCTACCCTTGTCCCCTGCCACCAACACTGCAGGCTGGAAGATAACCAGAGGGCCAGATACGGCACCCAGGCCATAAAATGCCAAGGTCTACATTAAATGCTTTCTGCTATACTGCAATTTGTGTGCAGTAGAAAAGAAAATATTAAGCTCAGGGTTGAACTGTGACGTTCTTGCTGCTCTCTGATCGTGGTTATTTGCTTGCAGACGTCTCATTATTCAACTAGGTAACATCATCAGTGCTAGTGGGTGTGAGGTTTGCTGCTTGTTTATATTTATTTATGTATTCAAATTTATACAGCCATAATCTGATCCCTGTTTATCTGAGTATTGGAGGGAATGTATTTTGCTCTTTTTTATTCCCTTCCTATGTTTTTTATTGTCTCTTCAGTGATGTGTAAGTGTGACTTTTATCTATGTGTCTCTTCGTAGCTGATTTGTTTGAATGCCAAACTTCGGGAATTCCCTAGCATTTTTGAATGTGGCTTGATCTTTGCATCTGAATATCAAGCTTCTTTAGAAGAATTTGTGCATGGTTTCTAGGTTGGGCCCAGTGTGCAGGACTCCAACTCTCATAAAATAACATATTTTATTGTCCAAGCAAAGATGGGTCCTCCCATTAGGCTGGAAAAGGGCCACTTACAAAATTCGAGGCATTTATACTTTATTAGTTAATCATTAGCTATTTTTTTTAAATTTGATTTATATGCCGCCCTTCTCCGGAGACTCAGGGCGGCTTACAATGCACTAAGCAATAGCCTTCATCCTTTTGTATATTTATACAAAGTCAGCTTATTGCCCCCACAAACTGGGTCCTCAATTTACCTACCTTAGAAAGGATGGAAGGCTGAGTCAACCTTGAGCCTGGTGAGATTCGAACTTACAGTAATTGCAGACAGCTGGTGTTAATCACAATGCTTTTAGTCTGCTGAGCCACCAGGCTCTTATTTGACATGTCTGAAAAATATGTCTCCTAATTCACACAATTTAACATAGGAACTTTTTACAGAAATTACTTATGTCAGCTTGACCTACAAATTAATTTGAGTATATATTCATTTTCCTTAACATCTTTTATTGCTAACAAAGTCATAAATGAATATATTTGTAGAGCAACTAAAATTTGGAAATATCTGGTATATCAGTAAAAAATATTCTGCACCAGTCAAAAAGACGTCTGTGAAAATATTTACAGACCCATCGCATCCTGGACATAAACTGTTTCAACTCCTACCCTCAAAACTATAGAGCGCTATAGAGCACTGCACACCAGAACAACTAGACACAAGAACAGTTTTTTCCCCAAACACCATCACTCTGCTAAACAAATAATTCCCTCAACACTGTCAAACTATTTACTAAGTCTGCACTACTATTAATTTTCTCATCTTCTCATCGTTCCCATCACCCAACTCCTCCCACTTATGACGGTATGACTGTAACCTTGTTGCTGGTATCCTTACAATTTATATTGATATTGTTTTCTTATTGCTTATTTGTACCCTATGACTCTCATTAAGTGTTGTACCTTATGATTCTTGATGAATGTATCTTTTCTTTTATGTACACTGAGAGCATATGCACCAAGACAATTTCCTTGTGTGTCCAATCACACTTGGCCAATAAAATTCTATTCTGTTCTATTCTGTTCTGTTCTGTTCTGTTCTGTTCTGTTCTGTTCTGTTCTATATTCCACTGTTATTTTACTTCATAGTGCTGCTGCAGGAATAGCAAAAACATCATTGGAAATGGTTTCTTACGTTGGAATAGGTCAAGAGTAGAATATAGATGGAGCATGAAGGTATAAAACTTGCTGTAGGAGAGCAATCTTGAGCTGGATCGTCCATTCATCCATCCATCCATCTTTCATTTTCTATAGCCGCTCAACTCAACCAAATGACTCCGAGCTACTATAGGTATAGACCAGCAGGGTAAACATGTGGGATGCAGGTTTAAACTCGGGTCCCAAAAGTCATACTGTTAAGACATTGTATCAACATGGAATAGATAGTCAATGGAATTCAAGATGGGTGAACTTAGATTTCTTGGCACAAAAGGGCTCTAGACTGATAACGCGTTTGACCCCTCCCTCGGACTCAACCTGGGTCATCTCCTACACAAATACTTTGATTCCTATCTGCTATAGGGAGGTCTGCTTATACATGACTTTTTGGACATTCAGTACAATTTACCAAGCTTACCTTAGCTTAGTTCCATGAATCTTTTGCTATTACAGAAAACGGAGACAATTTATTTATTTATTCCAATGGCTGGTAACATTTGATATCATGTATTGGATAGTTCTGCAGACAAGGCACTGCAATTTAACACCAGCTGTCTGCAATTAAAGTAAGTTCGAATCTTGCCAGGCTCAAGGTTGACTCAGCCTTCCATCCTTTCTAAGGTAGGTAAATTGAGGACCCAGTTTGTGGGGGCAATAAGCTGACTTTGTATAAAATATACAAAAGTATGAAAGCTATTGCTTAACGCACTGTAAACCGCCCTGAGTCTCTGGAGAAGGGCGGCATATAAATCAAATTTAAAAAAAAAAATTGATATCATGTATTGCTTGAAGTGAATTACACTTTGGAGGTAGATGTGATATTAGATTACTAGGTTCTTTTCATATGTTCGGTTTCAAGCCATTACCCTTTGATAATCATGACATTTTAAGAGATTCTTTCTTGTAAATCTGATTTTTCCCCCCCCTTGGCCAAGGACAATTTTTAGTCTTTACATTTTCAAATTCTGTGAAAGATTCTTTGTTCCTTGTAAAGGAAAAAAACACTGACTCCCTTCTTCTCTTTAGAAGAATTATTTATTTCTAGGTGGGGCTTGGCTTCCTTCTCCTGAAGCTCATCTTCCTGTTGATATGTCGCACTGCTGTTAGGATGAGATTGAGATATTTCTTCTGGATGTTCATCCCATGGCCTATGGCAAAATCATAGGGCAACTGTGTAATTTGAAGAGCTTTCAATCCTCCAAAGCACACCACAAAGTTATAATTCAATCCTGTTTATTGAACGAGGACCCCGTTGGTTAACTTGGAGAGTAATCTACATCAATTGTTCCAGTCTGTTCAGTTTTTTTCCTAAGATTCCTAAATTCTTCATAAATTTTGGTACTGCAGTAGCTTTTTGAATCTCTGGTTTAGGGGCCAAATTAAATGTTGGCTGCTGGTCTTTTGAACAAGAAATCTCATAATCTCTTGCTTAAACACCCAGTAATTTGCTATCAAATTAATATCGGCACCAAACGTTCTCCTCCCCACCCACCCCTATTTATTTCTGAGGAAACTGTTCAAGTTGTGATTGTGCATATAATGTTGTTAATCAATTGCCGAAGACATTTAGTAGAATGAGTAGACGATTCCACCTCCATCTCCTGTCTATGTATTGGTTTCTATTTTTAGCCAGTTCTCGTTCATTTTTAATGCTCTTGCTTTTAATGCTTTCGCGTTTTAATATTTTACATTGCTGTTTTTATGATGTTGCAAGCTGCCCAGACTCACTCGCCAGAGAGAGGGGTGCCACGTCAATTTAATAAGCAAATAAAATCGATTTATATTCCTTGGGAAACGGGTTTAGCTCATACTACAGGTAGTCCTCGCTTTACGACTGCAATTGAGCCCAACATTTCTGTTGCGAAGTGTGAAACATTTGTTAAGTGAGTTTTGCCCCACTTTACGACTTTCTTTTGTCACAGTTGTTAAGTGAATCACGGCAGTTGTTGAATTAGTCAAACTGTTGTTTAGTGAACCTGGCTTCCCCACGGACTTTGCTTGTCCTTGTCAGGTCGTAAGAGAGGAACACATGATCCTGGGAGACTGCAACCGTCATAAATAGGAATCTGTTGCCAATTGCGTCTGCATTTTGATCGCATGACCAGGGGATGCTACAGTGGTCGTAAGTGTGAAAGCGGGTCCTAAGTCACTTTTTTCCGTGACGTTTTAACTTTGAGTGACCGCTAAGTGAACTGTTGTAAGTCAAGGACTACCTGTAGAGATAGCCCTCGACCTACATCAGTTCATTTAGTGACTGTTCGAAGTTACAACAGCACTGAAAAAAAATGACTTAACGACCCTTTTTCACACTTCTAATTATTGCAGCATCCCGTTGGTCCCGTAATCAAAATTCAGACGCTTGGGAATGGACTCACACTTATGACCGTTGCAGTGTTCAGGGATCACGCCATCCCCTTTGACAACTTTTTGACAAGCAAAGTCAACGGTGGAAGCCTAGAATCACTTAACGGCTGGGTTCCTAAATTAACTGTAAGGATTCATAAAAGGCGGTGAGCCAGAACATGGGGCCAAATTCACGTAACCAATATCTCACTTAGCCACAGAAACGTTGAGCTCAATTCAGTGGTGGGTTCCTCCCAGTTCGGCCCGGTTCACCTGAGCCGGTAGCGGTGACAATATGACGTCACCGAACCAGTTCTGTCCCCACCCACCCACCCCCGCGTTATTCTTACCTTTTATTTGGCCCCACCCCCAATCTATTGCTGCCTGTAAAAATACATGAGTAGATCAGTGCCTGCAAAAATAAATGGGTAGACGGGTGCCTGCAAAAATACATGAGTAGATCAGTGCCTGCAAAAATATATGAGTAGATCAGTGCCTGCAAAAATACATGAGTAGATCAGTGCCTGCAAAAATAAATGGGTAGACCGGTGCCTGCAAAAATAAATGAGTAGATCAGTGCCTGCAAAAATAAATGGGTAGACCGGTGCCTGCAAAAATAAATGGGTAGACCGGTGCCTGCAAAAATAAATGGGTAGACCGGTGTGCCTGCAAAAATAAATGGGTAGAACCGGTGCCTGCAAAAATAAATGGG